CCCCGGGGGGCCCCTTGGGGGCCCCCCTGGGGGCCTGCATATGGGGCAGGAGAGGCCCCTCAATTCAGAGGGAGAAGTTGCTGCGGATGCGCTGGGCGCTGCGCCCATTGCAGCTGCTCTGCTGCTGCTGCTGCTGCTGCTGGTGGCTGCTGATAGGAGTGGCGGAGTTGCTGCTGGTGCGCTGCTGCTGCTGACCGAAGCCACGGGGCCCCCAAAGATGTCGCACTGGACTCTCCAGGAGCAGCAAACAATCTGCTGCAGTCTGAGGTCTGAAGTTTGCTGCTGCTGCTGCAGCAGGAACCCGTAGCCGAGCACGTGCTCCTTTGCTGCTGCTGCTGCTGCTGCTGCTGCTGCTTCTCCTGCTGCTGCGTCTAGCGCCGCCTCTGCCAGGGGCCTCCTAAAGAGAAAATAAGAAACTGAGGGAAAAAGCGAAGGCAAGTGGCCGCCTGCTGGCTGGGGGCCCTTGCTTCGAGGGTTTAGGGTTTAGGGTTTAGGGTTTGGGGTTAAGGCCTGGCGGCTGCAGCCGCAGGGCTGCGCCTCGAGCCACAAAAAGAGCTAAAAGGGACTAAAATGACAAACAAAAAGAGAGCAGCAGCAAATGAAAAGGCGAGGGCCCCTTTTGCTGCTGCTGCAGAAGCGGCTGTCGTCAGCAGGGGCCTTATGGGGCCCCCGCAGCAGCGCAGAGGGGCCTCTTGGCCAGCTAGCGAGCCCCAGCGTGTCCAGCTGCTGCAAATGCATTTATTCTTCATCAAATATAAAACAAAAAAGGACAAAAGGACCAGAAAAGGCAAGTGCTGCTGCTGCTGCTGCTGCTGCGGAGCCAGCCGAGACACACCCGGCGGCACGAGCCGCCAGCCGCACATGCACCGCCAGGCAAAGCCGGCCTAAATGCCCTTTTTCTTCGTTTCTTTTTATTTAAATTTCAATTATTTATTTTATTTTTCTACTTCCTTTGTTTTCAGCGGACAAAACGAGCGCGAAAGCGCGCCGGGGCGCCGCAGCAGCTCTGCTGCAGCCGCGAGCGGCTGACTGGTCCGCGCTGCGCGCGCCTGCAGCTGAGCTCGTTCGCCCGTTATTTTTCCATTTATTTCAAATTATTTTATTTATTTTAGTTTTAAAACATTTATTTGTTCTTTTTAAACCAAAATGAAGGGCTTTTTGCTCGCCCCGGCGGCGCCCGGCGCGTAGCTGTCCAGTGGACCCAGCCCGACCAGCCCACCCTCGCCGCCAGCCTGACCAGCAGCCAAAAGCCCAAGCAACTCCTCAAATAAATTAATTAATTAATTAATTAACTTCAAAATTAATTAAAAAACAAAAACAAAATAGGATTCAAACAAAAAAGTCCACTCTCGAAACACAGACAGCGCAGCGCCTCGCCGCAGCGCACAAGCTGTGCGGCAGGCCACTCTCGGGGAGACTCCGCAGCAGCAGCAGCAGCAGCTGCTGCTGCTGCTGCTGTTGCTGCTGCAGGGGTGGGCAGTCGCTGCGGCGCGCAGCGCAGGGGCAATGCCAAGCCTTCGGCCGGCGATCACAGCAGCAGCAGCAGCAGCAACAGCAGCAGCAGTGCAGTTCAAGCCCTAGCAGCCAGCTCATGCCGCTGCTGCAGCGGCATCCAAGGCTGCAGCTGCGAAAGGCGAAGTCACGTTGCTGCTGCTGCTGCTGCTGCTGCTGCTACTGCTGCTGCTGGAGCAGCAGCAGCAGCAGCAGCAGCGTATTTTGGAGAGCACTGAGTGAGACTAGCCTTGCGCATTGTGGCTAGCGGCTGCCTAGCTAGCAGCAGCTAGCTGTGCTGCTAGCACCAGCTAGCTGCAGCCACCATCAGCTAGCTGCAAAGAGCCAGCTAGCTGCAGGGGCCGCGGGGGCCCGGGGGCCCTAGGGGGCCCCAGGGGGCCCCAGGGGGCCCCAGGAAAAGCTGAGGGGCCCCCCATGAGACTTTTGTGGGGGCAGCTGAAGTGCTGCTGCGCTAGCTGCTTAGTGCATGCGCTGCTACTGCTTTCTGCGGCTAAAACTTGCTCTCCCCTGCTGCTGCTGCTGTTGCTGCTGTTGCTGCTGCTGCTGCTGGTGTTGCTGCTGCTGCTGCCTTCACTATTGTCTTTGCTTTTGAACTTTTGATTTTTGCATTTTAAAGAAGATTTTTACTAAAGACTTTGGGGCCCCTAGAAGCCCAGATGACTCCGGGGCCCTCAACCCTCTTTCGCCCAGCCAGCTCGCCCCTTTGGAGGCCCCTGAGAGCCCTCAAAAGGGCCCCCAAGGGGCCCCCCAAAGGCCTTAAAAGGCGCCCCCAAGGGGCCCCTTTTAAGACCCTTCTAGAGCAAGTTTTATGCCCTTTGATATCCTTCTAAGCGCCCCTTTAGGAGCGCTTTAGGGCCCCCTCAAGGCCCTACCCATTGGGGCCCTTTAAGGGCCCCCTTAGGGCCTCCTTAGGGGCCCGTTAGTGCTATCCTCTCAGGGCCCTCTTGGGGCCCTCTAGAGTCTCTCTTGGAGCCCTCTGGGGGCCCTTTAGGCGCCCTCTGGGGGCCCTCTGGGGGCCCCCTCGGCGGCCCCTTGGGGACTCCTGGGGGCCCTCTTAGGACCCTCTGGGGGCCCCCTTGGGGGCCTCCTAAACCGCCTGGAGTCCCTCTTAAGTGAGCTAACTGGCTGCAGTGAGTGTGGGCTAAAAGGAGTGAAAAGAAATATATTTATTTGCATACATCGTGAGTTTAATTCATTTTATTGATCTTCTGAAATTTGGTAGTTATTCAAGGCCTGAAGCCTCTAACTGTCTGCATGAAATGGTATAAATGTCTGTTTATTTGCGCAATTTTGCATGCCTTCACGTGCACTGTACATACACCTGGCCATCTACACAAATATATTTGATGCTGCACAAGACAGTAAATTAATGCAATTAACGGCTCGTTTAATTAAATTATTCATTTATTTATAGATATGTAAATTTGGAAGATCTGAAAATGCATACATATATCTAAATGGTGTAGATCTGCAGATGCATGCGCATGCAGTGCGGGCTTGCAAAAAACCGCGAGAGAGGAGGATCTGTTCGTTTGTATTTTCTATCTAAAAGACTTCTAAAACTCTTCAAATGATTAAATTTTAAATTTTAATTTATTTCAATTCCCTTTTGAATTTAAAAACTGGACTTTCCTCATTGCATGCATTCGTGGTGTCCATACACCAGGCGCGCGAAGCAAATGCCCCCCAGGGGCTCCGGCGTTGTCAGCTGGCCGTTGAGAAGTTTAAAATATCGAAAAAAGAATTAAATTAAATAAAAGAATTAAATTTAATATTTAAATCAAAATTTAAAACCCTTTTAATTCTTTTTCCCCAGCCGCCGATGCGAGCTGCATGCAGCGGCTGCGCTTTGGGCGTGGGGCGGCGGCTGCGGGCTGGCAGCAGCAGGATGGGGTGTATGTACACTGCAGCAGCAGCAGCAGCAGCAGCACTTGTTTGGATTTTCTTCAGTTTCGCAATTCATTTTGTCCATTCAAGGTGAGTGCCTTTCTCCTGCTGCCCCGCTGCTGCTGCTGCTACTGCGCAGCGCCTGCTGCTGCTGCTGCCAGCCCCCTCGCCTCTCCCCGCTTCTTCCAATTCTTTTTTCTTATTTGTTTATTTTATTTATTACATTTTTCCAATTTTTATTTTATTTGCTTCTCCGCAACTCTCCAGGGGCCCCAGCAGCAGCCGCTGCAGCCTGGGGGCTTATGGGGGGCCCCAGCTGCTGCCTTCTGTGTATGGCCAGCCCTCGCCCAGGCCCTGCTGCATACAGCAGCAGCAGCAGCTGCTGCTGCTGCTGTTCCTGCCTTATGCAGCGAAACCAGCAGCAGCAGCAGCAGCAGGGGCTGTCGCTGTGAAGGGCTGCAGGGTATAAATGCGCCGTAAAGGGGTGTGATTGCTGCATGCATTCAGCCATCTAATTTGCTGCTGAAGTGCTGCCGCGCTCTGAGCTTCGCCTGCTGCTGCTGCTGCTTGTGCTCTTGCTGCTGCTGCTGCTGCTGCTGCTGTTTGCGGCCTTTTCCCTCGTATTTGCGTTTTATTTTTTCGCATTTGAATGACTTTAATTATCCCAATCTGCTGCTCACTTTAAATGCCATTCAAATCCATTTATTTTTATTTTTATATCAAACTTTTCTCTTTATTCTTTTTGCCTTTTCTCCCGCGGCGCCGCCGCGGTGTACGTACACCTCAAGTTGCGCGCCCGTTTTCGCCGTTTTCGGCGGAATTTTGCGAATTAGAATTTCTGTTTTTGGAAGTAAAATAAATTTGGATTTTAATGTTTAAATTATTTTGTATTTCTCCTTTTCTGTCGCTTTTTGCTGCGGATTCGCCGTGCTGCTGCTGCTGCTTCTGCTGCTGCTGCTACTGGGGTTTTGGGGTGTGTTTTGCAGGTTGGTCGGATTTAACTGATTTTTTGCGGAACTTGGGTCAAATTTTGCGGAAAAGAATGGAATTTAAATAAAAAAACAGAAATAAATGTTTGTTTTTTTGTTTGCAGAGAAAATGGCGCGCGAACTGCGAGACATCCGGGAGTTTCTGCAGACGGCGCGGCGGAAGGACGCGCGCAAGGTGGTGATACACCGCAGCCTGCGCAGGCCCAAGGGGGCCCCCTTTGCTGCTGCTGCTGCAGCAGCAGTTATTACAAAGTTCAAGATAAGATGTTCGAAGCATCTTTACACTTTGGTGGTGGCCGACAAGGCCAAGGCCCAGAAGATCGAGGGCTCCCTCCCCCCCTCCCTCAAGCAGCAAATCATTCCCGCCAAAAAGTGAGCCCCGCGGCCTCCCAGCTGCATGCGCAGGCCCCGCTGCAGCAGCTGCTGCTGGCTGCTGCAGCAGCAGCTGCTGCTGCAGCGGCGGCGGCGGCGGAGCCGGGGGTGGCGAGCTGCGGCAGCAGCAGCTGCTGCTGCTGCAGCAGGTGGACTGTGGAAAGTTAAGTTCTTTGCTCTGCGGCTGTCGCCCTGAGGTGTACAGACACCGCGGGCTTGCGGGGTGTACGGGGAGCCACGCGGGAAGCAGGGGAGAGTAGACAGCAGCAGCAGCAGCAGCAGGGGTGAATACAGGGTATTTTATATCGCGTAGGATTAGGGAGCAGCAGCAGCAGCACAGATGGATGTAAGATATTTTATATCGAATAAGATTGGGGAGCAGCAGCAGCAGATCGACGGATAGAAAGTATTTTATATCGAATAAGATTAGGAAGCAGCAGCAGCAGCAGCAGCAGCAGCAGCAGCAAATTAAAATACAGAGCCAAAGAAATGCCCCTCTGGGCTGAGGCGGTGTATTTGCAGTCTGGGGCGTATGTACACCTGAGCGCCTGAAACGCAAAATATTCGAATTTAAATATCTTAAAAATAATTCATTTAAATAAATTTTATTTATTTATTTGTTTTGAAGACACACGTATCACAGATCTGCAGCAAAACAAAAACTTTTAAGGAGTAAATTTAAAAAAAGATTAAAATTTGAAAAATGTTGGAATTTAAATCGTTTTAAAATGAAAAGGATTTCAAAAATAAAATAAAACGGAAATGTCTCCTGAACTCGCTTAAATGATATTTCCAAAAACTGCGTTTGAAAAAATTGTTTTATTCATTTATTTGTTTTACAGTTGAACTATTTTGAACTTGTTTTTGCATTTGTGTTTGGGATTTTTGTTTTGTTTTACTTTTGCGTTTTTACTTTTTCATTTTTTATTTATATTTGTTTTAATTTCTTGTATTTGTTTTTAGTTTCCTATTTTTATTTATTATTTTAATTTATATTTGTTTTTAATTTTGTATTTATTCTTGTTTTTAATTTTATTTTGTTCTTGCATATATATTTGCTCTATTTATGTTGGTATTCAAATTGAGTTTGTTTCCGTCTTTTAATTCATGTTCGTTATTTTGTTTACGTTTTAATTAATTAATTTATTTATTTCAATTAATTTATTTAATTTTGCAATTCAAGCGCATGCGAGAGCCCGGCTGCATGCAGAACAAAATGCGAAATAAATGAAACAAAAATGCAAAATAAATTCAAATAAACGAAAATAAATAAAAATTAGATTAAAATTAAATTTAGATAAATAAAAATTAAATTTAAATAATAAACATTAAAATAAAAATAGATAAAAATACAGAAGTGTTTCAATTTCAATGTACAGAACCAAAGGAGTTCCAACGTGGCAAACCAAAACCCTAAATGGAAATTAAATCAAAAATTAGAATTAAAATTAATTTAAATTTAATTAATTTAATTTAATTAAATTAATTAAATTAAATTAAACTGAATTAAAAACAATCTTTTAACTGCAAGAAAGGGGAAACGACGCGGCAGCTGGGGTGTACAGACAGCGCGGGGTTTGCAGAATAGAACTTGAGATTGGGGAAAATAAAAAGAAATTCACATGATTAAAAATAAATATATATTGTTTTCATTAATCTGCGCCTCGGGCCTCTTGCTGCAGCAGCAGCAGCAGCAGCAACGCAAGCTGCTGCAGCAGCAGCACGGCAAGCCGCGGCAGCAGTAATGACGGCCGCCTCTGATTTGCTGCAGCTGCTGCAGCTTGCGTTCCTGCTACTGCTGCAGCCTTCGCGGCTGCTGCTGCAGCTCGTGTGGCTGCTGCTGCCGCAGCTCGAGCTGGTGCTGCTGCTGCTGCTGCTGCTGCGGCTGTCCTGGGGACGGCTCTGGCTGTGTCTGCAGCTACTGGGAGCGTTTCCGCCACCCTTTGCCCTTCCTGTGTCTGCTGCTGCTGCGCGGCTGCTGCTGCGCTGCTGCTGCGCCCCTGCTGCTGCTGCTGCTGTGCTGCTGCTGCTGCTGCAGCAGCTGCTGCCGCCACAGGGCCCGCCGCTCCGCCTCTGTCTGGGGGGCCCTCAGCCGGCAAATGGCCAAGTCATTAAATGCTGCAGGATGAGCAGCAAAAGGGGCCTCTAGCTGCTGCTCCCACACAAACGGCAGCAGCAGCAGCAGCAGCAGGGCCCCCCGCGAAGGCTCCACCCACTCACATGCACACGCCCCTGCAGCAGCAGCAGCAGCAGCAGCAGCAGCAGCAGCAGCAGCAGAACCTGCTGCGCAGCAGCAGCGGCTGCTGCTGAGGGCCCCTTCGCCCACTGCTGCTGACAGTGTCCCTGCCCCACAGGCTGCTGCTTCTAAGCCGCCTCCCGCTTCTGCTGCTGCTGCTGCTGCTGCAGCTTGCGCGTTTGCTGCTGCTTCCCCTGCTGCTGCTTCCTTGTTCTTTCTAACAAATCGAAAATCCCCAAAAAGACTTCGCCGCATTTCATAAAGAGACAAACTGTTCCCCAGCAGCACAAAACCACGGGGGCCCCCAGACCCAACAGGGGGGCCCCCAGACCCAACAGGGGGGCCCCCAGACCCAACAGGGGGGCCCCCAGACCCAGGGGGGCCCCCACAATTAGGGGGGCCCCCAGACTCAGGGGGGCCCCCAGACTTGGGGGAGTCCCCAGGTTCAAGCCTACTATTGTTAGAAGGGGAACAGTGTGAAGCTGCGCAGCACAGGTCTGTGCTGCTGCTGCTGCAGCTGCTGCTGCTGCTGCAGCTGTTGCTGCTGCTGCCGAGTGGCTTTTGGGGCCTTCGTGCTGCAGCAAAACAGCGGCAGCAAAAAGGACTTAGCCGCAGCTCCGTGTTGAGAAGATCCCCATAGAGGTCTGCGTCGCAGTGCGGCAGCAAATAGACCACCAGGAGCCCCCGCTGCTGCTGCTGCTGCTGCTGCTGCTGCTGCTGCTGGTGCTCTGCTGCTGGCTGTGGGTGCGGCGCGTCTGCTGCAGCAGCAAACAGCTGCTGCACCGCCAGCTTGTCTGCTGCTGTCATCACAGGGTCCTCCACAAAAGTCCGGGCCCCAGGCACCTGCAGCAGCTGCTGCAGCAGCAAAGCCAGCGCCAGCTGCAGCCTGCTGCTGCGCACGTCGCTGCTGCTGCTGGGGCTCCCCAGCCCCAGACAAACCAATCCATACTCCACGCCACTCCACTTAAAGTCGAACGCCCAGGGGGGCCCCCAGGGGGCTTGGGGGCCCCCGTAGGGGCCCCCAGGGGGGCCCCGGGGGGGGCCCCCGGGGGGGCCCCCAGGGGGGCCCTCAGGGGGGCCTTCAGGGGGGGCCCCAGGCCTGGGGCCTTCTGGGGGGCCCCTGGGGGGGCCCTCAGGGACACCTTCCTCGGGGGCCCCCTGGGGCACCCCAGGGGGGTCCTCTAGGGGGGCCCCCTGGGGGGGCCCCCCGTGGGGGGGCCCCTGAGGGGCCCGCCAAGGGGCCTCCTGAGGGTACATGGTGTGCAGCTCGAGCAGCACAGCCTGTTTGAGTTTGGTCTTGGTCTCTTGCCAAAAGTCTGAGGCCTCTAGCTGAGGCTTTAAGCTGCGCACAGCAGCAGCAAGTGCTGCTGCTTCTGCTGCTGCTGCTGCCTCGGGGGCCCCCGCAGCAGCGCAGCAGGGGGCCCCCAGGGCGGTCACGGGGGCCCCTGGGCCCTCATAGCGGGCGAAAGCAGCAGCAAATTCGGGTCCGGGGGGCCCCCCAGGGTACAGTTTGCTGCCACTTGGGGGCCCCCCGGGGGCCCCCTTACCTTCTCTGGGTCTGCCCCGACGAGAGACCACTTGCCACTCGCCCTCTTCAGCCGGCATAGCCAACCCTAAACCCTAAACCCTAAACCCTAAACCCTAAACCGCGGCGAAGGCGCTGCAGCCCGGCTATGCATGCATTATTAGCGGCTAGGCATGCATTCTTAGCAAATAAATATCAAATAAAATGTTTTATTTTATAAAATGAGATCAAAATATAAATAAAAAGATCGAAATATAAATTTAAATGCGAAGATTCCCTCAAATGTACTTCGGGGGCCCCCGGGAGTCGGAGGCAGCGCTGCGCGCTGGACTCCACCCCACCATATTTAAATCTTTCTCTTTTTTTCCATTTTAATTCCTTTTTTAAATTAAATAATTCAAATTAAAACAAATAAAGAAATTCAGAACTCCAGAAAGCTAAAGAGGGGCCCCAGTCTGCGCCGGTGGGCCCCACGGGGCCCCCTGGCCTCGCGGGGGGCCCCCAGGGCTGGAGGCAGCAGTGGTTGTGTTTGCACAAGCCTTTTATTGAATTGAAGGCTCCTTAGTGGTTTAAATTTAATTTATTTTTATTTTTAAATATAATTGTTTTTTATTTTTCTCATTTTGCTTCTTTATTGCAGCAGACAGAGTCGATTCGTCTGCACTGCTGCTGAGGCGCTGCAGATCTGGGAAGCCGCAGGAGCTGCTGCTGCTGTCGGCTGCCCCATCTCTCGCATCTGCTGCTGCTGCTGCTGCTGCTGCTTCTGCTGCCAGCAGTTTAGACTTTGCTTTTAGCAATCAGGAAAGCCGCGCTCACACAGGCCAGCCGGCACCCGGCAGCAGCTGCTGCAGCGGCAGCAGCAGCAGCGGCAGCTGTTGCGGCAGCAGTAGCAACTGCAGCAGCAGCAGAAACTACGACAGCAGCAGAAACTGCAGCAGCAATACACACTGCAGCAGCAGCAGAAACAGCAGCAGCAGCAGCAGCTCATATTCCCGGTTCCCCCCGTTGGTTTGAACCTTGAGAAGCGGGAGCCGCGGCGTTGACTAGTTCTTGCTGCGCTGCTGCTGTTGCTGCAGCAGCAGCAGCAACAGCAGGAGCAGCTGCTGCTACTGCTGGAGAAGCAGCAGCAGCAGCTGCAGCAGCAGCAGTAAATGCACGATAAAGACGTGCACGGGAGGCCCAGCCCATCCCTGCTGCCTCGCCTAGCCCCTCAAGCAGCACATCTAGCTGCTGCTGCTGCTGCTGCTGCTGCGCGATGGCCCTGCGGCTAATGGAGCAGCTGCTGCAGCTGCTCCATTTGCTGCTGCTGGCGCTGCTGCTGCTCTCCGCCCCACACCTTCAGTTTGTCAGCAGCACAGCAGCAGCTGCAGGCCCCGAGCAAAAGCCCACAAGCTTTTCTCTGGGGGGCCCCTGGGGGGCCCCCAGAGGGGCCCCCTCAAAGGCCCCCTGGGGAGCCCCCATGAGGGCCCCCAGAGGGGCCCCCCACGGGGTCACAAGGTGGGTACTCACGGGGGCCCCCAGGGGGGCCCCCTTAGGGGCCACTGGGGGGCAGCAGGACCCTCTTTTTGGGTCCAGTGCTGCATGCAAAGCAGCAGCAGGGGGCCCCCTGTCTTTTCTGTGGGCCCGGGGGGGCCCCCCGGGGCCCCTGGGGCCCCAGCTGGCGGCAGCAGCAGCAGCACCCAGGGCAAAACAGTGGCAGCCACTGCGGCCAGCCGCCGCTGCTGCTGCTGCTGCTGGTGGTGAAGGTGCTGCTGCTGCTGCTGCTCCCGCGCCGGTCTTCGAGCCGTCGAGCTCCGAGAGAGCCAGCGTCTCAGAAGGGCAGCCACCTGCTGCTGCTGCTGCTGCTGCTGCTGCTGCAGACTGGCAGCAGCAGCGGAGCGAGAAGGCAGCAGCACTGCAGTACCGGCAGCAGCAACTCGAGGAGCTGCTGGGCCTTTCCGATGAAGTCGAGAGGACCCCCTCAGGTGACCAGCCCCACCGCCCCTCTCATGCATGCATGCATGCATGCATGCACGCAAATGCATGGGTGCATGCATGCATGCATTAGTGCATGCATGCATGCATGCACCGGCATGCATGCGTGCAGTCGGTCCCGCATGCATGCACTCCCGCATGCATGCATGCATGCACTCCCGCATGCATGCACTCCCGCATGCATGCACTCCTGCATGCATGCACTCCTGCATGCATGCATGCATGCATGCGTGGGCGTGGGGCTTTGCAGGGATGAGCGACGAGGAGTTTCTGGAGGTGTTGGGGCTTCCTGCAGGTGTGGGGCCCCGGGAGGTGGCGGGGGCCCTTCATAAGTGGCGGCAGCAGCAGCAGCAGCAGCAGCCCGTGTCTGCTGCAGCGCAGCAGCTGCACAGCAAGTGGCTGGAGCTGATGGAAAGGGCTTTGCTGCAGCAGCTGCAGCAACGGGAAAGCAGCCAGCAGCGCAGCAGCAGCTGGACGCGCGGGCTGCAGCAGCTCTTCTTCGGAGGCGCTGCGCTCTCCGCAGCAGCAGCAGCAGCAGACGACGACCTGTGAGCTGCTGCAGTCTCACAGTACAGCTCCTCGCATGCAAATGCATGCATGCATGCAAATGCATGCATGCATGCAAATTCATGCATGCAAAGCATGCAAGTGCATCCATGCAAATGCATGCATGCAAATGCATGCATGCAAAGCATGCAAATGCATGCAAAGCATGCAAATGCATGCATGCAAATGCATGCATGCATGCCTGCGTTGTGCTGCTGCTGCTGCAGTGCGCATGCGCCCAGCGAGCTGGACCCGGCCTACGCAGAAGGCCTCGGACTTCCGAAGGCTTTTGGGGCTTTGGCTGCTCAAGTCCGCGAGGAGCAGCAGCAGGCCCAGAGGGCCCCCAGCTTCCTGCAAAAGTGAGCAGCAGCAGCAGCAGCAGCAGCAGCAGCAGCAGCACGGCAGCAGCAGCGGCAGCTACGTTTATCTGCGTGGGGGGCTTTGCTTTTGGGTTTAAGGCCGCAGCTGCTTCTCCTCTTTTGCAGCTCCGCAGCTCTTCCGTCTTTGCATGCATTCTCTGCATGCATGCATGCATGCACAAATGCATGCACAAATGCATGCACAAATGCATGCGTGCATGCATGCATTTATGTGTGTGCCGTTCCCCTGCCGTAGCAGTGGACCCCCGGGAACAAGGGAGCCCCCGGGGGCCCCTGGGGGCCCCTGGGGCCCCCCGGGGGCCCCCCTGTCCCTTCTGGAGCAGTTAAGAGGGGCTAGGGGCCCCCCTGGGTCTCTGTTCTCCCGCCTTTTGTGCTGCCTTTGTCCCGCGATTCTCCCGCGCAAAGCTGCTGCTGCTGCTGCTGCTGCTGCTGCTGCTGCTGCGCTGCAGGCTGGGGTCCTCGGCGAAACACTTTCTCCCGCTGCTGGCAGCAGCAGCAGCAGCACCTCGAGCAGCACCCACAGCCCTCCTGGCTGCGGGGGCCCTCGCGGCCCGCCTCATCCGCGGCCAGCCGCCGCGGCCGCAGACCCAGGGCCCCCCCGTAAGCCCCTGCTGCTGCTGCTGCTGCTGCTGTTGCTGCTGCTGCTGCTGTAGGCGCTCTTGTCGTCTTTGCTGCTGCTGCCGTTCCGCTTCTGGCGCTTTGTTCTTGCTCTCTGCTGCTGATGCTGCTGCGGGCGCTCTTTTCATGCTTTGCTGCTGCTGCGCGGGCCCTTGCTGCTGCTGCTGCTGCTGCTGCTGCTCGTGCCCCTACAGAAGCTCCTGTGTCTCTGCAGCACAGCCAAAACTAAGAGGCTCTGCCCCGTGTCAGTTGCTGCTGCTCTGAGTCTCCGCAGACCTCCCCAGGGGCCCCAGAAACCTCAGAGGCCCTGGGGGCCCCAGGGGCCCCAGGGGCCCCAGGGGCTCTGGGGGCCCCCGGGGCCCCAGGGGCCCTGGGGGCCCCGGGGGCCCCGGGGCAGCAGCCGCTGCGCGCGCTGTGTCAGATTGCGGGGGTTTTGGGGCTGCATGCGCTGGTGGGGGGGGCGTCGGCCTATTTGTGCTGGAAGCTGGTGGGTCCTCTCTGCTGCTGCTGCTGCTGCTGCTGCACTGAGGGCAGGTAGCTAGCGTCTGTGCTGCTGGCGCTGCAGGGGCAGCTTAGGACGCGGGAGGGCTGTCTGTGTTTGGGAGTTAGGCTAGGGTTTAGCGCTTAGGGTTTAGGGTTTAGGGTTTAGGGTTTAGCTTGGGGAGAGCCGCCCAGCTCCTGGCCAGCGTGTGATGCGGCGAAGTGTCTTACGGACGTGTACGCTGCTGCTGCTTTGCTGCTGCTGGTGCTCTGCCGTGCTGCTACCGCCTTGCTGCTGCTGCTGCTGCTGCTGCTGCTGCTGCAGGCTGGTCTGGGCGCGTGGGTCTCTCTGCGGGGCCTAGCTGCGGGCTCCGTCATAGCGCAGTGGTGGCTGGCGTCTGCGCTGCACCGCCTGCAGCCGTCTGCTGCTGCTGCAGCGCAGCAGCAGCAGCAGCAGCAGCAGAGGCTGCTGCCGGGGCTGGAAGCTGCTGCTGCGGAAAGCCCCGAAGACATGGAAGCTCTGGAGGCGCGAGAAGGAAAAGAGTGGCTTTTTGATGACCCAGAATTTCCGCTGAGGTTCAGAGACGAAGACAACTGAACGAACTTCCAAATTTGCTGCATGCATGCATGCATGCATGCATGCATGCATGCATGCACTCGATGCATGCGTTCACGCGCTGGGCGCAGGCGTGCGTGCGCGGGCCGCATGCATGCGCTGGCTCCGTGCATGCACTGGCCGCATGCATGCAGGCCTGCACTGGCTGCATGCATGCGCGCACGCTGTGGCTGCATGCATGCATGCACTGGCTGCATGCATGCATGCACTGGTTGCATACATGCAGTGGCTGCATGCATGCATGCATGCATGCATGCACGACTAGGCCGTGCATGCCTCATTTTGGCGTTTTCTTGAAAAGCCTCTTTTGCATGCAAAGTGCAGCAGAGCGCATGCAGCTCATTGGCAAGTCCGCTATTTATTTAATTTCGACTTTTTGCATTTTTGCATTAATTAAAAATGCATTATATGCGTCATTTAAGTCACATTATTAGCAGTAATTAAACTTCATTATTTGCATTAATTAGATTACATTTTTGCATTAATTAAACTACAATGTTTGCATTAATTAGACTTTATTATTTGCAATAATTACATTTTTGATTAATTGAATACATCTTTGAATTAGTTAAGCTACATTTTTGAATTAATTAAATCACATTTCTAAGCGAATTACATTTTTAATTAATTAATTACATCTTCGAATTAATTAAATACATTTTTAATTAATTAATCACATTTTTGAATTAAATAAATACATTTTTAATTAATCATATTTTTGAATTAATTAAATACGTTTTTAATTAATTATATTTTTGAATTAATTAAATACGTTTTTAACTAATTAATTGTATTTTTGAATTGATTAAATACCTTTTTAATTAATTAATTACATTTTTGGAATAATTAAACTACATTTTAAATTAAAAGTCCGAAATATTCGAAATATGACTGAGACAAATGTTGCAGGCTGCTGCGCCCACAGCCTCAAAGATTCCGTGCAGCACAAAATCACACATAAAGTTTGATGCTGCGCTGCAGCGCAGCAGCACAGCTCGTGCTGCAGCAGCTGCTGCTGCGCTGCAGCAACTGCAGCAGCTGCAGCAGATGGGCCTGCGCTGCTGCGCTGCAGCGCAGCGGCGCTGCTGCGCAGCAGCAGCAGACTGGCTCGCGCTGCTGTGCTGCGGCGCAGCAGCACACCAGCTCGTGCTGCTGCGCTGCTGCGCTGCAGCACAGCAGCTGCTGCGCTGCTGCGCTGCAGCGCAGCAGCAGACTTCTAGCAGCAATATCTCTTTGCCCCTCCGACTCAGTGGGGCTTTCGCTGCTGCTCGCTTTGCGGACACTCCAGCAGCAAACGCGGGCACGGGGTGTATATGCACCTTTCAGGTGTATAGGCACCTCTCAGGTGTACGTACACCTCTCAGGTGTATGGGCACCTCTCAGGTGTATAGGCAGCTCCTCAAGTGTACGGGCGCCTCAAGTGTACCGGCACCTCAGGTGTATGTGCAGCTCCTCAGGTGTACAGACACCTCCTCAGGTGTATAGGCACCTCCGCAGGTGTATAGGCACCTCCGCAGGTGTATAGGCACCTCCTCAGGTGTACAGGCACCTCTCAGGTGTATAGGCATCGCTCAGGTGTATAGGCATCTCTCAGGTGTATATACGCATCTATCAGGTGTATAGGCACCTCCTCAGGTGTACAGGCACCTGTTGAGGTGTACAGGTACCTCCTCAGGTGTATAGGCACCTTCTCGGGTGTACAGGCACCTTCTCGGGTGTATGGGCACCTGCTCAGGTGTACCGGCACCTCAGGTGTATAGGGACCTCAGGTGTATGGGGACCTTTTCAGGTGTACAGGCACCTCCTCATGGGTATTGAGAGCTGAGGTGAGCGTACACCTGGGCACAGCAGCAGCAGCAGCAGCAGCAGCTCTGCTGCTGGAAAAGCCGCGGTCGCCCGAAAGTATTTGTGGCTGCATGCATGCAGCAGCAAGTTGGGGCTCCTCCTGTTGCTGCGCAGCTTTTGCTGCTGCTGCATGCATTCAAATAGCTGCATGCGTCTCCCTCTCCTCCTCCAGCAGCAGCAGCAGCAGCAGCAGCAGCAGCAGCACGCCTTGCCGCCTCAGCAGCCTCCTCCTGCTCCTCCACATTGTCCTTCTCCGCAGCAGCAGCAGCAGCAGTGCCTCTGCAGCAGCAGCAGCAGCTGTTTATCCCGACCTTTTGCGCTTGCGTGGCGGCGGCCGCTGCTCCTCCGAGCTGCGTGCTGCAGCAGCTTTTCGTGCTGCTGCAGTAGCAGCAGCAAGGGCCCTCTCGAGGGCCCCCAGGGGCCCCTTTAGCTGCTCAAGTTTGGGGCCCTTTGTTCTAAGAAAAGCAACTTGAGAAAGAAACTGCTGCGCAGCCCTGAGTTCGGGGTCCCCCAGGGGGCCCCCCGCTGCAGCGGCGAGCTCGTGCTGCTGCAGCGCAGCAGCAACGTGGCGGCGCTGCTGCGCCAAGGCCGTGGCGCACTCGTGCTGCAGCAGCTCGAGGCGAGCAGCAAACTGGGAAACGAGAGCAGCAGCAAGAGAAGACACTTCTGCTGCTTCCGGGGGAGTCATCTGCAGCGTGAGCTTCTCCACAAGTTCTGTCCAAGTTTGCTGCACCTCCTGGAGGCCCCAGGATTCCTCCAGCAGCAAAAAGTGGTTTTCTGCTGCGTCTGCTGCTGCAGCAGACACCAGTTTGCTGCTGTACAGACACGAAAGGGCTTCTCTGTACCTCCGGGATATTGTGCTGCAGTGCTCTTTGTAAGCAGCAGCAACAGCAGCAAAGTGTTCCGGCACCTCGCTGCGCAGGCTGTCGGCCTCCGCGAGCAGCTGCTGCAGCAGCAGCTGCTGCTGCTGCTGCTGCAGCTGCTGCTGCTGTTCTTCCTCCGCAGCAGCAGCGGCGGCGCCGCGCGCACGGGGGGGGCCCCCCGGGGGGGCCCCCACGCGCCGCATCGCGAAGTTCGCCACAAGGGCCCCCACTGCAGCAGCAGTCAGCAGCAGGGGCCCCACAGGCAGCCGCCGCCGCTGCTGCCGCCGCGAGGGGCCCCGGGGGGCCCCCAGGAGGGCCTCCACGGGGGCCCCCAGGCCCGCGGGACTCTGCAGCCCGTCCACCACCAGGTCCAGCTGCTCCAGCTGCAGCTGCTGCTGCTCCTCCTGCTGCTGCTGCTCTGCAGCAAGCCGCAGCGTCGGGCGCAGCCGCCGGCTGGGGCCGAGGGCCCCCCCGCTGCAGCGCAGCAGCAGCAGCGGCGAACACACCCACAACAACAACCCCACCGCCCAGGGCCCTACAAGTCTAAATCTTGCCATTTTTGCTTAAATAAACCTTTTTGTTAAGCCAGTTGGGGCCCCACACTTGCTGCGGGCCCGCGGGCTCCGGCCGCCGCGGACTGCTGCTGCTGCTGCTGCCCAAGCGCGGCTGCCGCCGCTGCACCGGATTTCGGAGCCCCCAACGCCCAAATAAATGCAAAACCTTTTTTAAAATTATAAATTTGACAAAATAAATCGCAAATGAGGCAGCTGGGGCTTCTGGAGCGGTGCTGGGGGCTGCGCTGGGCGCGCGAGGAGCAGCAACACACTGCAGGTCCTGCAGCGCTGCTGCTCCTGCTGCTGCTCCTGCGGGCCGCACGAACTCGCCGCGGCTGCCGTGTCCTCGCCAGAGCTTCCAAATTCATTTAATCCCTCTTTCGCAAAAAGTAAAAAACAAATTCATGCTGCTGTTGCCTCCAGCTGCTGCAGCAGCAGAAGACGCATGCGCGCTGCAGTCGCTCCCTGGCACTGCATCGAAATCGCTTGCGCCCAGTTGTCCAGCTGTCTCGACACCCCGATGCACTCGCCCGAATAATGTTTGCAAACTTCAAAATCATTATTTCAAATTGTTTTATTTGTTTTAAATTCAGTAACAGCGCGTTTCAGCCGCAGCAGGAAGCCGGTGCCGCCGCTGCAGCTCTGCGGCCTCCGCCCTGGCGACCGTGAGCGCCCCCGCGCGCCTGCGCCTCCTAGAGAAACAACATGCGCAAAAAACTGCAAAATTATTTAATTAAATAAAATAAATAATAAATTAAATTAAATTCAAGTGCTATTCCCCGCACAGACTCGCGGCTTCGCGGAAACCCGCGGCTCCCTGACCCACCCCGGGCGGTCGCACCCGCCTCCCCATTAATCCCTCAATTTTCAATTTCCGGCCCCCAAAAAACAATTTAATTTAATTTAATTTCAAAGCTTTTCATTTATTTTGCATTAATAATTCAAGAAAAACTCTCAAAACGCCCGTTTCGCGGGCCAAGTGGCGGTGGCAGCAGCTGCAGCACTGGCGCCGCGGTGTCTGGCGAAGGCTCGCGGGGCCCCCCATGAAATTCGAAGCAGCATTTCAATTTGCTGCAGCTTAGGGGCCCTCAAAGCTTCATAAACCCAGACAGGGGCCCCCTAAACCCTCTGGGGGGGCCCCTCTGCTGCAGCGCCAGCGCTGTGGGCTCCCAAAGTGTCTGCTGCTTCCACTGCAGCAAATGGCTGCGCGAGCTGCTGCTGCAACAAAAGTGCCTAGGGCCCCCCTAGCCCCAAGGACCCCCGAAAGGGCCCTGAGGGGCCCCCAAGGGGCCCCGGAGGGTCCCAGGGGGCCCCAGGGGGTTCCCGGGGTTGGGGTTTCGTAACCCATGGGGCCCCTGAAGTCTCGTTTAAAAGAATAAAAAGGGCCCCTAAGACCTCATTTTAGAAGTAAAGAAAGAAGCAGCAATGCTGCAGCAATTTAAAAGTTTAAAGCAGCAAAAACAGCAGCTGCTGCAGTCCCCAAATATACTAGTCTTGCTGCTGCAGCACTTGCGCTGCTAGACCCTACAGGGAGCCCCTGTGGGGCCCTACAGACCACTGGTGCATGCGCAGCAAGCGCAGGGGCCCCACAGCGGGGGGGGCCCCTATTGGGGGCCCCCCTTGGGGGCCCCAATTGGCAGCTTTTGAAGAAACTTTAAAGGCTTTGCTGCACCCAGAGGCCCCACAGCAGCAAAAGAGTCACTTAGAGATACTTGGAAGCAAATTAACTTCCTTTTTGCCCTGTTTTTCGTGCTGCTGGGGCCCCACAGCTGCCGCTGCTGGGGCCCCACAGCTGCTGCTCCTGCTGCTGCTTCTGGGGCCCCACAGCTGCTGCTGGGGCCCCACAGCTGCTGCTTCTGGGGACCCATAGCTGCTGCTGAGGGGGCCCCTGGGGGGCCCCCTGGGGACCCCCACGGGGGGCCCCTGGGGACCCCCACGGGGGGCCTCTGGGGCCCCCCAGTGGGGACTCATGGGGCTTTTGCAGCTTCGTTTGCAGCTTCAAATGCATTTAAAATTAAATATTTGCAAATCCAGTTTAATTAACACAAATAAACTTGACTGTTAACCAGCAGCACACAGAAAAGCCTAAAGTTGCTGTGGGGGCCCACAGCAGCAGAAGCACATTTGCTGCTTCTTAATTTCAAAATTAATTAAAAGAGTTTTTAAAATTCGCCTTTTATGATGAAGAAGTTCTGCAGCAGGAAACAGAAGTTTTAGAATTATAATTTTCAGCGTTTTTTGTTTTCTTTTTCTTTAGTTTCCTCCCTTGCTGCTCTGCCCCAAGCAGCATGCATGCAGCTACTCCGCAGGACTGCAGTAGTGCTGCAGCAGCGCTGCTGCTGCGCTGCAGCAACACTGCAGCAGCAGTGTAGCAGCAGTGCAGCAGCAGTGCCGCAGCAGTTCAGCAGCGGTGCAGCAGCGGCTGTAGCAGCAGAGGAGCACTGTAGCAGCGGCTGTAGGAGCACTGCAGCACTGCAGCAGCACTGCAGCAGCACTGCAGCAGCACTGCAGCAACACTGCAGCAGCCGCTGCAGTAGCACTGCAGTGCTGCTGCAGCAGCACTGCAGCAGCACTGCAGCAGCGCTGCAGCAGCACTGCAGATGTTTAGAGACAAGACAACGGCAAAGAAATATTGTTGTTTTAACTCCTTTGCCCTTGAAGCCGCCGCGGCCCCAAGATAGCGTGAGGGAAGTGGAAGCGCTTTCTGCATGCAGTGAAGATCCATTCAACTTGAAAACTGACATCTTTAAATCTGCACTTATAGCTCCAAAATAGAAAAGTTTTGCCTTTTTATGAACTTAATTAAGGCCTGCAGAGAGGCAAAGTGAGAAATGTTCAAAAAGAGGAAATCTTGAATTGAATGCGTGCTGAAGACGCCACTGAATTCAAGTCAGTGGCTTTTGAATTGAGCCTTCCCGTGCAGCAAATTGGAGGAAACCTGAATTGTTGAATAAAATTCAAAACAATAAAACATTCAGTGTCATTCAATGTCTGCTGAAGCGGCTTTTCTTTAAAGCTTTCCCGAAGTTTCCCTCCACAGGCTGCTGCTGCTTGCGGCGGCGCGCAGCCGCAGATCTCGCAGAGTTCTGCCCGTAAAGCTGGCTCTATGACATTGCAAAAAGCTCTTTTCAGAATGTAAAAGCCTAATTTGAATGATTTCACTGGAGCGATTCAACCTGCAAGCCAGCAGAAGGCTGCATCTCGGTGGAGCCTCGAGAACTTGAAAGCTGAACAGCACAAGGACACCCACGCGGCGGGGCTTCCCCCTCACCTGGTAATTTGCATTTACAAATTAAATGCAAAGAAAGTGCTTAAATAAACATTTGGCTTGACATGCAAAGGAACACCACCACCTCACACACAGTTGTGGGGCCCTGGGGCCCCCGGTCGGGCTGCTGCGTACATTGACTGCTTTGAGGCGAAGAGGCGTGCCTTACACCCTTCGAAGGCGGCGTCTTTGTCGATTTAAACCTGTTTTATTTCGGAATTTGTGTTTAGTTCTTTACAGGATGTCTCAGGAGGCGGAGGTGGGGCCCCCGGGCGAGCCGGGGAAGCCCGCGGAAGAAACCGACAGCTTGCTGGACTGCGTGAACCGGATCACTTCCATGTGTCCAAACTGCGAAGAAAATGGGGAAACACGTATTTTATTGCACCGGGTTCCTCATTTCAAGGATTTGTTGATATCCTCGTTCAGCTGTCCGCACTGCAACTACGCGAACAGAGAGGTAAGGAAAGCTGCACAAGGAGCTGCGTCAGTGCGAGCTCTCCTCCGTTTTCCAGCCGTTTCGGGCGCCACCCCGGTAGTTTTTAATGGTTTTCAATTGCATTTCGAGGCAGTTGGGACTTAGTGAGCGGAGATCGCGCGAAAGGGAGGCGCTGTCGGGAGTTTCCGCGAAGTTCAAGTTTCCGGGTTTGCGGCGCGGGCTGCTGCGCGCAGGTGCAGGCCGCGGGCAGCCTGGCCCCCAGAGGCGTGCACATTGAGTGCCGAGTGGCTTCGCCGCTGGACTTGAACCGGCAAGTGGTGCGGAGCGAACACTGCGAAGTCCAAATCCCCGAAGTTGAACTGGAAGTCCCGGCCTCGCGGGCGCGCGCGGAGCTGAACACAGTGGAGGGCCTCGTCGCCTCCTTCGCCGAAAACCTCAAGTTCGCGGCTCTCTACCAAATGCAGCTCGGCGAAACTGAAAAGGCGCAGCGCCTCTCCCGCCTCGTCCGCAGCCTCAAAGACATGGCTGCCGGCCAGCAGCCCTTCCTGCTGGTGCTGCACGACCCCAGCGGCAACAGCTACGTGGAGGGCCTGGCGCTTGCTGCGGCCAAGGGCGAAGAGGCCAGGCACAAGCTGGAGGACGCTGCTGCTGCTGCTGCTGCTGCTGCGGGGAGCAGCAGCGCGCCGCAGGAAGCTGCTCGCGCCTCCCCGGAAAGCCCGCGGCAGCTGCAGCGCGCTGACAGCCGCCTCCTTGTGAAGCACTTCGAAAGGACGAAGGAGCAGCTGCATGCAATGGGGTACTTCGAGGCCCAAGAAGCCCCGGAACAGTCCCAGACAAGTGCGCCACCAGCTGCTGCAGCAGCAGCAGCAGCAGCCGCAGCGGCAGCAAACCTGTGTTTCGGCTTAGTCCACGCGCCCCGCCAGGGCTGATGCAGCAGTTGGGGGCCCCCAACGGGGCCCCCAGGGGGCCCCCTGCCAGGGCTTTTCGGTGGGACTGGTGGCTTGTGCGCAGACGAAGGGGCCCCCGAGGCAGAAGAAGCTGCAGCAGCAGCAGCAGAAGAAGCAGCTCTCAAAGAAGAGGCCCTTTTGCTGCCAGTGGACTGCCCGCACTGCGGCTGCAGCACGACCAACAAAGTCTGCCAAGTCAACATTCCAGGTGCAGCGGCAAGCAGCAGCGAGCAGCAGCAAGCAGCAGCGCTTCTTTTCCAACGATTAAATCATCAAAAGAAAGCTGGAAGAAGCAAAATGAGCAGGTGTTCTTTTTAAGAAATGAAGACCTTCCCACTTTGTCGCTTTTGCTGCTGCAAAACTCTGCGGGCTGCTCTTCTGTGCAGGTTTCCGCGAGTGTCTGATCTTCGCGTTTTGCTGCCCGAACTGCGGGGCGAAGAACTCCGAAATTAAAGCAGCAGGGGCCTACGGCTTGGCTGCGCGAAGGTGGATTCTGACGGTGAAGTTTCCCCGTTGAAAGAGCTGCTGCAGCTGCTGCAGCTGCTGCGGCTGCTGTAGCTGCTGCGGCGGGCAGCAGCAGCTGCTGCTGCTGGGGCCTGCTGCTGCGCGTGTCAGTGGGGCCTTTTCGGGAATTGGGAAATGCGAAAACGCCAAAGACAAAAGTGCGCGACTCTGAGCTGCGGATTCCGCAGGTGGAGGGCCACGACGACTTGAACCGAGATGTTCTCAAGGGAGATACGGCCACAGTTGAAATCCCAAGTTTGGACTTTTCAATGGAAGGTGGCGCAGAAGCTGGTGAGCTTTAAAACCTAAGGTTACTTAAAGGTTTCAGCTTTCCCGCGGGTTTCCCGCAGTGCTTTCCGCGCAAGCTGCGGTGTACGTACACCGCGCGATCCGCCGCTTTCCCGGCGCGGAAAGCGACGCGCGGGAGTCCAAAAATGCGGCGAAGTGCTGCAGTTTTTTGCAGAAAATTTAACTCCAAAAGACGCAAAAGTGTTTTAATTTGCAGGAACTTTAACTACGGTGGAAGGGCTGCTGAAGGCGCTGGCCGACGGGCTGAGCGAGGGCGTGCCGTTCGCGAGCGGCGACTCTGCTGCGGAAAGCTCGAAGAAGAGAATGGAATTTGTTTGCGAAGAGCTGCGCAAAATGCAAGAAGGAGTTTTTAGTGTTTTGCCTTTCAAATTAATCATCAATGACCCCGCGGACTTGTCTTTTGTGGCGCTGCGGGAAGCAGCAGCAGCAGCAAAGGCGCCCCCAGTGCAAGTCGACGCCTCCACCCACGTCGACGGCGACGCAGCAAGGGCTCTTGCTGCAGCAGCAGCAGCAGCAGCAAAAGCTCCAGGTGCAGCAATTAGTGAAGAAGAACTCCAAAAGAAACTCAAAGAGGCCCAGCCCGGAGAAGTCCTCTGGAGCTCCAAACTGGATGAAACTCTCGTGAGCAGTTCAACTAATTTTATTTCCGAAATAAATATTTGTTTTCCAAAATAAAATGTTACTATTTGCTTTCATCTGTGAAATCATTAGTTTTTTCATTTTGCAAAATAATATGTTGTTATTTGCTTTTAACATAATTTTTTATTATATATTTAGTATATCTTTGTTTTGCAAAATAAAACACATTACTATTTGCCCTTATTTATGAAATAATTAGTTTTATTTTGCAATAAGGACATTATTATTTGCCTTTATTTCCGAAATAAAATGCTTTATTTTGCAAATTATTATTCGCTTTTGCTTACAAAATAGTTTGTTTCATTTCGCAAAGAATATCACATTATTATTCGCTTTTATTCATTAATTTTTCTTTATTTCGCGAAATAAGAACATTATTTCATAAATAAAAACAAATAATAATTTGTTTTTTACTTGCGAAGTAATGTTTTATTCTTGCGAGAGAAACCACATTATTATTTGATTTTTATTTATGAAAAATACATCTTATCTTGCAAAATAAAACATTTTTTTATGTATGTGAAATAATGTTTTGTTTTGCAAAATAAAACGTTACTCTCTATCTGTGAAATGATGTTTTATTTTTAAAAATAAGACATACTTATTATTATATATTTTATTCGCAGAATAAAATATTATTTCTTTTTTTACTTCTGAGTAATGTTTTACTTTGCAAAATAGAACATATCATATTGTTTTATTTTTCGAAATGAAACTATTATTTGTAATAATACTGTTTTATTTCGCAAAATAAAATATTATTATTTATAATAATAATGTTTTATTTCGCAAAATAAAATATTATTATTTATAATGTTTTATTCCGCAAAATGAAACATTATTGTTCATAATGTTTTATTTCGCAAAACAAAACATTATTATTTATAATAATGTTTTATCCCGCGAAATAAAACATTATTGTTGTTTTGCAAAGTAAAAGACATTAATTTGTTATGTTCAAATTTGCAAATAAAACTTTGTCTTTTATTTATGATTTGGCGTTTTATTTTGCAGAATGAAACACTTCATTTCAAAATTGATACTTTATCTTGCAAAATAAAACATAAATTAAACGATAAGATGCTTAAGTTTGCAAAATAAAACAATAATATAATAATACATTTAATTTTGCAAAATAAAAGATATTTTATTATTAATGTTTCATTTTGCAATATGAAAGATATGTTTTGATAAATTATTTTGCAAAACAAAGGAAATTGTATTTTTATATTTTATTTTGCAAAACAAGAGATATTTTATCTTGCAAAATAAAAGATAAAAATATAATTTTGCGAAATAAAAGTTATATTTGTATTTTATTTTGCAAAATAAAAGGGATGATATTTTATTTTTTTGCAAAATAAAAGAAATGATATTTCAATTTTATTTTGCAAAATAAAGGAAATAGTATTTTTATTTTATTTTGCAAAATAAAAGAAATGGTATTTTAATTTTATGTTACAAAAGAAAAGAAATGATACTTTTATTTTATTTTGCAAAATGGATTTCTTTGTTTTGCTGCAGACAGTGGAAGTGTACAAAAGAACGCCGCAGCAAGACGACTCGCTGGGGCTGTTGGACATGAAGACTTGAAAAAGAAAACTTTTAAAATATTAATAATTAATGGCAATTATTGTTTAAAAGTTTATTATTAAAACAATAAATATTTGAACAATAATTGCCGTTAATTCCACCGGACTTTGTTCTATTTTCCGACACCTCTAGCGGCAGCAGCAGCAGCAGCAGCAGCAGCGCAGCAGCAGCAGCAGCGCAGCAGCAGCTGCTGCTGCGCTGCTGCCCCCGGGTGTCTAGACGGCAGGTGTCTGCCCTCGCCTTTGCAAGAGAAGGCGAAGAGCTGCGAAGTGTCTACGCACTTCACTTCAAACTGCAACAGCAGCAGCAGCAGCTGCAACAGCAACAACAAACTAATTTGGCTTTTGGCTCTTAGCAGCACTTAATTCTTAGGGATTTGCTGCTGCGCAATTCTACAAATTTGAATTTCGCGTTTTCAGCCCTTCAGCTCTGGAGAAGCAAAACACTGCAGTTTGACTGAGGCGCTAGAAGCCTCTCGCGCGCTGCTGCTGCTGCTGCCGCTGCTGCTGCTGCTGCCGCTGCTGCTGCAGCAAGGCGCTAAAAGGGGGATCTGCAGCTAAAATTGTGGGTAAAGAATCTGTTAGGCGCAGCGGCCTCGCGGGGCTTCTGCACTCAGTCGAGAGACCAGTATTCCTTCTCCTTCTTTTTCTTGAACTGCAGCCCACACACAAGTCCTCAGCGCAAGAATATATGCATGCATGCAAAACCCATGCAAAGCGCATGCATGCATGCATGCATGCAGAGGAAAGGCAAAAGCTGGGGATGTGCTGCAGTCACCTTCTTGGGCTTTGCAACTTCGCGCTGCTTCAGCTGTACGTTCACGTATGTCGCGAAGGCGGCGATGATCATGATGAAAACGAAAACACCGATGATGACATTCCACGCTGCGGAAATGCAAAATAAAAGGAAATACTTTAATTAAAATAAACGAAAGTGGTTTATTATATTTGCGAAGCGCCGAGCTCGCTTCCGGCGCTGACTCGCCCATCGCTGCGGTGTACGTACACCTGAACACCACGCCGCGCTCCAGAAGCGCCGTTCACTACTTGCCTTCGGGTTCGAGCGCCATTTTATGTTTGTTTGGACTTCAAGTATAAAAACTGAAAAGAAAAGAAAAGAAGAAAAACAGAAGACAAGGACTCCTGCGGACCGCGCAGCTGCAGACTGCGGCCACTGCCTCCCGCCCGCCTCCCCTGGGACTTGAGAACATTTAAATTAATTATTTAATTTCATTAATTTTATTTTTTAATTCCAAAACACTTCTATTCCCTCTTCTCCATTTTTCGAGTCTCTCCAGCGGCTGCCGGCGAGCAGCTGCGGCGGCGGCAAGTCGAGACGGAGCAGTTGAAACTCGAATTCCATCTTGTTGAATTAGTGGTGAAGTTCAAACTCTTAGTTTTAGTTAAAAACTATTTTTGAATTATTTTAAAGTCAAAGTCTTCATCAATGAGGGCCCCCTCACCTCGGAGTTGCGCCAGCAGAGGCTCCAGCGAGCGAAGACAGCAAGGGGAGTTTTCGAATTCGAAAGAGCTACAAAAAAATAATTTAAATTCAAAAACACAAAAGACACAAAACTATCTTTTGCTGCTGTCTCGCGCTGCTGCAGCGCAGCAGCAAACAGCTGCAGCCCCATTGCTGCTGCTGCGCATTCGCAAATGGCGAAGTGTGAACCAAAAAGGTCTTCAAATCTTTTAATTTAAATTCATTTCAATTCAAAATTTGTCCGTCTTTGACTTCAAAATTTGCTGCAAAAAAGCAGCTGAAAACAGCCAAGAGCCCGTTTTCTGGAAGCTTTAAATCTATTAATATTTAATTAAATGGACTTGCAAATAAATCTCTTCAATTTAAACTCCATTTATTTATCACAACTTCAAAACAATTCCCTCTGGAGGGTTCCCGCAGCCGGGGCTGAAGGGGGGGAAATGCATGCACCAAGAGAAAATATAAAACATTCAAAAAGATAGTCTTTTACTTCAACAGAAACTAAACTTTTGAATAAAATGACTTTTTATTTTTGACAGTCTTTGTAATGCAGGCTTTGCCTCTTAAGTGGAAAGTTCTGTGAGCTTGAGAGGCGCAGCAAGAGAAGAAAATTGAACACTTGTGGCGAAATTTGTTTCAAAATAAAACTTTTTGAATTTCTATTTTATCTTCTTATTCAACGAACACCTCAGGCACAATCTGAGGCAGTTTCAGCTGCTTAATCCTGTTAAAAGAGTGAAAAAATTCAAGCTTTGAGAACATTCAAAAAGCCACTTTCAGCCGTACGCAAAGTCTACAGTCAGTCAAAACCGAAACGCCTAATGTAATGTCCTGCAGCAGCAGACGCTGCTGTTGCTGCTGCCGCTGCTGCTGCTGCAGCGATACTTGTCTTCGCGTTGTTGCTCCTATAATTCTGCTGCAGTATTGCCACCATAAGCTGCTGCTTATGCCCCACTATCAGCTGCTGCTGCTCCTGCTGCCGCAACACTTTAAGGAAAATAATTCGAATAATAGTTAGAGCAGCAAGAAACTCTGCTTTGCAGTCTGTGTTTAGCTCCATGTGTAGCTTTTAGACAGAGGAACAAGATAAGCCCTTGTGACTTCGATTTAACTCGAAAGCATCTCGTGTACAATTCTTGCGGCGAAAGTCTTGATGAAACTCACGAAAACTATTGAAATTAAGTTTCCACGCTTCTTGATTCTGAAGCTTTTAGCTTTTGGAACAAAAGTCCCATTGCTTCCGTTTGGTGAAGGCTTCAGGAAGCCTTCTCATGTCACTCTAGTTGGCTTGAGTTTTACTTTCAGCCCTTCTTCTGGCCTTCAAAACCACATCTTCGTGTCCTTTTCCACTGCGCAAATAAAGTGCACTATTCAAAGAAATATTATCTCGTTCATTGGAGACCAGAGATACATTATGCGATAACTTGCTGCCACGCAATCTGCACACAAGCCCCAGAGTGGCGGCAGCTCACTTTTGCAAGTTTATGCCCCACGCCACCAAGTGCCCTGTATGGAAGCCTTTCGATGCTACTTTATGGCTTTATGATCTGTTTGTGAAGCTAAGTAATACTCTACATTTATTTGTGCATTTGAGGACAGCTAGGCTTTGCACACGAGTAAACTGTCTGTACTGAAATGCAAACTGGGTCCAAAGGCCTGTAGCGCTTCACATCCTGTAGTGGAGTCTGAACAGAGCTTTTGTGAAAAAAAGAAAAGGGATCCTCATTTACAATTAAAAGTATTGCCCCATGCAAGCAGCACAAGCTGGGTAGGCCCCAAGTATCCTGCACCATAGAAGATCACACACTGGAGTACCAACAGCCACTGAAAGCCCTCATTGAAGGGGGAAGCATTTTGTTGACAGGCTCAATCTCTGTGCTTAAATTTATCGATTCAAGATATCGGTAGTCACCCATGAATCTCGTACACCCATATCTGGCGTAAGCAGAATGTGGATGGCTGTGCTGCACTGGGGCTGGCGTGAGCAGCTCCCACGCAGCTCAGCCTCAAGTGTTGAGGCTGAGCTTTTGAATTTTGAACGGAGAATGAAAATATAGCCTGGCTTTCAGACAACACATTATCAATATCTCACTTTCTAATATCCCCAACACTCAGGGGTTGGCTGCGCAAAAATATTTATGCAGCCTGCGTCTCGCTTATATGCCAAATAGAAAAAAAAGTGTTTCTCTCAAAAACGAAAATGCAGCCTTTGGGGAGCCCGTCAAGATTATTCCTGGCGCATTCTTCATTCCAGAACTTGTGGGGCACAGCGCTACAAAGTAGCCCAAAAATGGAGTTCAGGCTCATATAATTCAGAATGTGTAGGCTGGCATGAAATATGAGTATATAAAATGCATATAGGGTTGAAGTGCTCGAAAGAAAAGTCCCAGTGTGCCCCCAGTTAGGTCCAGGGTTTAGGGCTGGCAAGAAGTACTGCAATTGCAGCACACTGCATGGCCACGCAGAGCGTTAGAAGTATTGGAGGAACGCATGCGTTCCGTGGGGATAAGAAAGTTGGAAATAATATTTAAATTTCTCGAATGTTTGAGTTTCCTTACTTTGTAGTGATAGGAATAAGCCTGAGGAACGCGTGTAGCCATAAAAGGAGAGCCACGCAAGACAACCCATCAGCTCTAGACTGGAAAACTCTTAGAAAGAACTTGCATCTCTCCTGTCGAGAAAGTTTTTCCAGTTTTTGAATTTTCGCTCTTTTCTGCTAGTGAGAGCACCACAGCAATGTTGTGGCGGGCCAGTCGAAGCAGCGGACTTCCGCTGCAAATAAACTTTTTCTTTCAGGAAAAATATCAAATGTTAATAATGAAAATTTCGAATATCAAAAGTTAGTTGAGAAATTCGAAGAACAACTGCTTTCCAGGAAGATCCGGGTTGGTTTGTAGCGCTGCGCATTATCTTGAAGAATAGAAGTAGCCGGGAGGCTGGGAAGCTCTGTGAATTCGAAGAAGTGCTTTCATAAAAAGTCATTGAATATTTAATGTCCCCTGCCTGTTGCAGCAGAGCTTTCAAAGTGGACAGTTGAACAATTAAAAAAGGACAAGGGAAGCAGTGGACTCCAGTCAAGAAGTCGAAATTATTCATTTGTGGGATTTGGATGGCAGCTCATTTTAATAGAAATTGCAAAAGATTCAATTGAATAAAGTGTCTTATGCGGGTTTTTTGAAAGGCTTTGAGTGCATCAATTTCGAAAACAAACATGTACTTATTTTGCATCACCATATTTCTTCTGGGCAATTATGAATTGTGTACAGGTCTAGAAAAAGCAAATATTGAAACAAGGACAGATTTTTCAACTGCCACAAAACATATCAGGAAGCTCCCCACAGACAAGTCTCAGAGGCTGTTAGTGCTTGAAGAAAGCTTGGCAACAAATTTCATATTGTGCACTTCTGTCTTAATTAACTATGCAAATAAAACTTAAATGCATTATTTTGAAAAGCTTGTTGAAGTCTGACGTGCACTTCGCATGTTGAACTACTTCTTAGTTATGGAAAAAAAGCCAAAAAGCCTCATTTTGCTTTCCAAATGAATTGTTCTGATCTCTACGTTTTAACTCGCAGAATGCAAAATGTGTCTGACTGCTGCAGTGTCGCTGCAAGCCTAAAACCTTATTCTTGCAGCAGAATAATAAGTGTTTCCAGCGTAATTACTTATTTAATAAGTGCTGACTCGTAGGCTATTGAAAAGTAAATTATTTTCCTCTTTTTTGACACATTTAGCGCCAGTTGCACTGCCTAAGTGCATGAAAATCTAAAGAAAGAAGTAAACATGTTCATTGTTCTTGTGCCTCTCACTTTACAGAAAAGACAAAAACTGACGCAAGCCGCTGCAGCATTGCCAAATAAGATCGGGCTAAGACAACTCAGAAATGACATTATTTCAGTTTTTCTGAAAAGGTAAACAAGTCCTTTTTTTGTCAAAAGTTTGGAATTGAACTCTTTCGCCAGCAGCCTGAGCAGTGCAATGTTGCATTATAGGTCGCCTTGGAGGAAATAAAAACTGCGGATCTTTTCAGTTATGTCTATAGTTTGAATTGCAAGCTAATTAATTAAACAAATATTTTTTCTAAAGGCGTTCTAATCAACAAATCTTTTGCAAGAACCAGCAGCACCCACCACCTCCTGCCGATCTGGCAGTGGCGCCTCACCGCGCCGCTGCTGCTGCTGCGTTGCAGCCTATGATATACAAAGTCTCGCGCCGCTCAATTTTGATTTAATTAGTTTTAAAGTTATTTATATTTCATATAGAGCTCAGGAGGCTCTGCGGGCTCTATTGGGCAGCCCGCGCACACGAGGGTTGCAGCACCGGTGCCGGGAAGGCTTCAGACGCTCGGGGTTCGAGTCTGCGAAACCGGCCGGAAAAGGGGAGTATTTCGCGCTATTAGGAGGCAAAATAGTTTAAAAATATAAATAAAAGGGAATAGAAGACAGCGGAATCCTTTGAAGTGTTCTGGCGGCGGCAGTGCGTCGCATTGGTACGTTTGCTGGGTGCGGCGGATCTAGAAACTTGAATGGCAGCGGCGGAGAGCGGGTTGGGGGAGGAGCTGCTGGGGGTTCCGCGCGGTCCTGGCTCTCGAAAAAAGTGATTAAAGCGAACATTTAAAGGTTTAATTTGTTTTGGCTGCGAGATTCCGTCGGTTTCCCCGAAAGTCGCGCTTCCCCGCTCACTGACACGATGAAGGCGCTGCAGCTGCTGGCCGCCGCCCCGTTCGCGGGCTTGCTGCTTTCCAGCGAAGCTTTTGCTGCTTCTGCCAGCAGAGCTGCAGCAGCAGCACAAGCAGAAGCCAAGTCCCCGGCGCAGGCTGCAGCAGAAGGGCTGCAGGCTGTGGGGGAGCTGTTCAAGTTCCTGGGCGAGAACAGCCAGAGTCTGAACGCGCGGCTCGACGCCGTCTCGGACTTCATAAAGTTTTTGCTGCGGGAACTTCACCCCGACGGCAGTTCGGCTTCTTTCGAGCAAACAATTGCAGCTTTCGACGCAGCAATTGACGGGGAAAAAGCCTTCAACGACACAGTGGACCTCATGGAGGACCTTGCTGCGGAAATCCGCGAGAAAAACCCCGAAAAAGACTCCGAATTGCGTCAAAGAATGAGAACTTTGGCTGAAAAACTGCGAAGTATCACCGCAAACACCACCAGCAGCTCCATGGCCGCCTTCGGCGTCGATGTCAGTGACCTCGTGCTCCCCGGCGTCGGCTCTTACGTCGATTACATGGTTGAGAAGCATGCAGATCCCATCATAAGCAAGTTTGAAGACTACATGTGAGCCTTCGGGCTTTGCTGCTGCAGCAGCAGCAGCGGCGGCGGCGCTGCAGCGGCGCTGCTGTAGCAGCAGCAGCAGCAGCAGCAGCGCGGCGGAGGCTACAGGCGAAACGCCCACCCACTCTCTTCATGCACTTCAACGACCGCCGCCGCAGCCACCAACTGCCGGCCGCGTGCTGCTGCTGCGGGGCCACACGCTGCAGAGCAGCAGCAGCAGCAGCAGACTGCAGCAGAATGCCACTTCACTAGCCAAATTGCTGCAGCCGCTTCGCCGAGCCAGTTCACTGTTCTTTAGGCTCTACCCGGGGGCCGCAGCCCCCGGCGGGCGGCGCCTGCAGCAACTTGAACACGATGCTTTGGGTATAAGCCGTGCGCGAGCAGCAGCAGCAGCAGCAGCGCAGCAGCAGCAGCAGCAGCGCAGCAGCAGCAGCAGCAGCAGCAGCAGCAATAGCGCAGCAGCCACAGGGCCGCTGAGGTCTAGTCAGGCAGCTTGCTTGTAGGGTGGAGCAGATTGCCCGGGATAGTGCAGCAGCCAGCGAAAACCCGAGACCCTAGATCGAGTCGCAAACCCTAAACCCTAAACCCTAGGTTCAGGGTCCAGGCCCGAAACCCTAGCCTTTGGGGCTAGCTAGCTGCCGCATGCAGCCACCAGAACCCTGCCTGCCTCTTGGAGTGCATTTAGCCAGCAAGCCACAGCGTGGCTCCGTGGCTAGCTGCTGCAGCGGTTTGCTGGAGCAGCAGCTAGCTACTGCCGCTGCAGCACCAAGCTGCAGCAGTTAGCTGCAGCAGTTAGCTGCAGCAGCTAGCTGCAGTGGCTAGCTGCAGCAGCTAGCTGTGTGCATCAGGCGGTGTCTAGCCGCTAGAGTTACCCTGCGTAGAGGACTCCATAGAAAATGAATGGACGAATTGCTGCTGCGCTGCTGCAGCACTAGGGGCAGCAGCAGCAGGCAGCAGCAGCTCTCGCTGCTTCTCCAAAAGAGATTCCCTTTTTTAAAAGTATTAATTTAAGAAGTATTTGGGCTATTGGGGGAACTTGGGGGCCCCCCGCTGCTGCTGGGGGCCCCCCTGCGCTGCAGCGAGTCAAGGCGCGAGGTGTACGTACACCCGGGGCCCCAGACACCCCCAGGGGCCCCAGGGGCCCCCAAAACCCTCAAGTTGAATTTCAGCCCCAATTTGCATGCAGCCTTTGCTGCTGCAATGAGCCAGCGGGCTCTGCAGCAGCAGCAGCAGCAGCAGCAGCAGCAGGAGCAGCAGCAGCAGCGGCGGCGGCGGCGGCAGCAGCAGAGAGGCACCAGGAGGCCTGTGCATGCAATGGCTTTAATGTTGAAATATCTTTTTTGAATCAAATTAAATTAAATTAAATTAAATTCAAAAAAGTTCATTTGAACAAACTCGAAGAAACACCAAACCACTGCTGCTGTCCAGACAGCGGCCGCCGGAGAGACCGCTGGCCTGCCCGATGCCCTAACCGCTGTCTAAACCCTAAACCCTAAACCCTAAACCCTAAACCCTAAACCCTGAGCCCTTAGCTTTTAGCTTTTCTACTTCAAGTTTGTCGGGTGTACATGCACTTCCCAGGCCGATGAGTCGCGCCAGCTTCTCGCAGTCCCTTGGAGTGTCTCCTCAGCTTCAGCAGCAGCAGCAGCAGCAGCAGCAAACGCAGCAGCAGCAGAAACACCAGCAGCAGCAGCAGCAGCAGAATAGCAAGCAGCACTGCCAGCTAGTCGTAGCGGCTAGTGGATCGTGACTTGGCGCCGCCCGCGCGAATGAGGCCCTCCCTGCTGCTGTGTGCTGCTGCTGCTGCTGCTGCTGCAGCAGACAGCAGCAGCTTAGCTTTTTGCTGGCAGCGGCGAGGCCAAGACGAGGGGAGACTCAAGAGGGGCCCCCAGGGGCCCTTTGACGGGGCCTATGGGGGCCCCCGGGGGCCCCTGACCCTGGCGCTGCTGAGCGAGCCTTCTGCAGCGCAGCCAGCAGCAGCAGCAGCAGCAGCAGCAGCGCCGCAAGACAGCGAAGGTGAGGCTGTTGCTTCTGCGCTCGAGAGCTACGGGAGAGAAAAGGTACTGCAGCTGCTGGCGGGGGGCAGCAGGGGGGAGGAGGACGCGATGGCAGCAGCCTTGCTGCGGCTGCAGCAGCAGCCGCAGCAAGACACAGCAGCAGCAGCAACAGCAGCTGAGGCAGCAGACAGCCTGCTGCGCGAGGAGCAGCAGGCAGACGTGCTGGCCGCCCTGAAGGAGTGGCAGTTTGCAGAAAGGGGGGCGGAAGAGACCCTGAAGCAGAAGCAGCAGCAGCAGCAGCAGCAGCAGCTGCTGCTGCTGCTGCAGAAGAAGAAGGAGGAGGAGGAACAGCAGCAGCAGCTTGAACCCCTGCTGCTGGTCGGGGAGCTTGACGCGGGGATCGAGGGATCGTCCAAGTCCTTCCTGCCTCTTCTTCCTGCTGCTCCACCCCGCAGCAGCAGCAGCAGCAGCAGCAGCACGACGACAACAACGACAGCTTCCCCCGCGGGCGCAGCAGCAGCAAGCTCTGCAGCAGCAAGCTCTGCAGCAGCAGCAGCAGCAGAAGACCCGTGCAGCGACAGCGCCTCGGTGGCTGCTGCGAGAGCAGCAGCAGCAGCGGGCCTGGAGACAGTGGCGTCTGCTGCAGCAGCAGGGAAGCAAGACCTGCTGGCAGCAGCAGCAAAAGCAGCAGCAGCAGTCTCAGCAGAAGGGGCCCGCCGCCTCGTCAAAGAACTCCTGGGCAAACTGGGGCCCCCCGTGCTGCTGCGGCTGGAGGCCTCCAGTACCCTGTGGGGTTTGGGGGCCCCCCCGCTGCTGCTGCTGGGGCCCCTGCGGGACCAGACGCTGTCCAGCATGCACTTCAGCGCGAGAGCAGCAGCAGCAGGTGCTGCTGCTGCTGCTGCTGCAGCAGCGCAGCCGCAGCAGTTCCTCCTCAGGTTTCAAAGGGCCCGGGGGCCCGTCCAAGACGAGGCCTTTGCTGCAGCAGAAGAGCGCCAGAAGCAAATAAGGGCTGGGCTGCGTTTGCTGCAGCAGCAAACCACTTCTGAGGACCAGCAGCAGCCCCGGGAGCCCTGGCTGGAGGACGCGGCCCAGCAGCAGCAGCAGCAGCAGCAGCAGCAGCAGCGGGAGGCCCTGGAAGCTGCGAAGCAGCACATTCTCATGCCTCTCTGGGTTGGCCAGCTGGCGCTGCCCTCCCCCACAGTTGCTGCAGCAGGAAACGATTTGCTGCTGAACTGGGTGGAGGTGTACCCCGACGCGCTGCTGCGGCTGCAGCAGCTGCCGCTGCTGCAGCAGCAGGGCCAGTGGTTTGTTGCGCTGCAGCTGCTGAAGGCAGCAGCAGCGCTGCAAAGCGCTGGCCTCCACTTGGGGGCCTTCGGGCCAGCTTCGCCCTGGATCAGCAGCAGCGGCCAGCTGCTGTTCGAGGGTGTACATACACTGCAGCCGCTGCAGCAGCAGCAGCAGCAGCAGCAGCAGCAGCAGCAGTGGGTCTGTGGGGAGGAGGAGCTCGAGCTGCCCTGGACTCCCTACATGCCTCCCGAGAGGGCCTTTTGCGGCCCCTCAGTGCCGGCTAAGGAGAAGGAGGTGTGGCAGCAGCAGCAGCAGCTGCTGCAGCAAAAAAAGGGAGGAGCAGCAGCAGCAATTACTGCCTGGGGCCTCGGCTTGCTGCTGTTCCATGTCTTCTGCAGCGCCCGCCTCCCCTACGGGATATCTGCTGTGGCCAGCGAGGCGGACACGCTGCAGCAGCTGCGGCGCCTCTACCTCTCAGCAGCAGACAGCAGCAGCAGCAGCAGCAGCAAACGCCTCAACTTCAAGACCTGCAGCACTGACCCCAGGGCCCACCGCCTGCTGCAGGCGCTGCTGCAGCCAAACCCCACACGCCGCGCCTCCCCAGCCCGCCTGCTGAGGCAGCTGCTGCAGGAGGAGCAGCTAGTCAAAGCCAAACCCTAGCCAGCAGCAGCAGCAGCAGCAGCAGGTGCCGCTGCAGCTGGTGTTGCTGCAGCTGGTGTTGCTGCGACAGGTGTTGCTCCTGTGGCTGCTGCTGCAGCGGGTGCTGCTGCAGCTGGTGATGCTGCAGCGGGTGTTGCTGCAGCGGGTGCTGCTGCAGCGGGTGTTGCTGCAGCTGATGCTGCTGCAACGGGTCTGCTTCAGCAGGTGCTGCTGCAGCAGGTGCTGCTGCGGCTGCTGCTGCTGCTGCCGCTTGTGGCGCCAGGGGTTCGCATGCGCCTGGACTGCCTGTACAGCTGAGCAGCAGCAAGCAGCAGGATTGGATTTTAACTTTTAATGCTTTAAATCATATTTATAAATTGTTTATTTATTTCATTTATTTTTATTTGCTTCTCATCTCGAAGCTGCTGCAAAGCCAAATTGAACCAAACTCCCTCTGTTGGGCCTCCTGCAGCTGCAGAAATTCCCGCCACCCTTAAACCCTAAACCCTAAACCCTAAACCCTAAAACTAGCCCGCACGAAGTCCGTATGCCTCGCAGGCTTCTGCGCTTATGAGGGTTTAGGGTTTAGGGTTTAGGAACCAGGGCTTTTCAACGGCTCCGCTCATTGAGCCGAAGCAGCTGGCACCCTGGCCGTAAACCCTAAACCCTAAACCCTAAACCCTAAACCCTCAAACGTGTAGCCGGCAGATAAGAGGGCAAGCAGGCCGGGCAGGCCGGTAGGGTTGTGCTGAGGCTCCATCAATCTGACGCCAAAGCAGCAGCAGCAGCAGCAGCAGCAGCAGCCGCTGCTGCTGCTGCTTCTGCTGCTGCTTCTGCTGCTGCTGCTGCTGCTGCTGTGGCGTTCTCAGCTGCAGTCGCTGCAGCAAGCAGCAGCAGCAGAACTACTGCGGATGACTCCTTGACTCTACTTGGTGCACTTTGGGGCTCAGAGAGGAGAAGAAGTCTGTGATGCGCCCACTGCGTTTCTTGGCCACGAGGTCCTGCTGCTGCTGCTGCTGCTGCTGCCTCTTTTGCTGCTGCTGCTGCTTTTTGGGCCACTGCGGGGCCGGCAGCTGCTGCGCAGGAGCCTTACAGTCTTCGGCCCCGCTGGCCACTGGCCACCCGCGTCTGCGGAGCTGCGCTTCGAGTGCTGTTGCTCCGCGCCTAGCAGCAGCAGCAGCAGGAGCAGCAGCAGCAGCAGCAGCAGTAGGGGGTGCTGCGGCTGCTGCTGCCGGCTTTGCCGCCGGCCCTTTGAGCGCAGCAACTGCTTCCTGCAGGCCTGAAAAGGGGGCACAGGGACTTCCACTATGCCCTGGTCTCTGCTGCTGCTGCTGCTGCAACGGCTGCTGCTGCTGCTGCTGCTGCTGCTTCTGCCGCTGCGGGAAGAGCTGCTGGATTTGGCCGCCGCTCGTTACAGCTCGTAGTGCTGCAACCAGACTGCTGTCTACTGAAGAGGGGGGAAGAGAAACTCCCTTTGGTGCTGCTTGCTGCTGCTGCTGCTGCTGTTGTTGTTCCCGCTTGGGTTCTGTTTCATTAACCTTGTGCTGCTGCTGCTGCTGCTGTTCTTTGAGGCGCACTGTGTCCTCATCTTGCTGCAGCTGCGCTTGGAGCTGCTTGGAATTCTCCTTTTGTTCTTGGTGGAACTCCTGCTGTGGGTCTGCGTCGCGTTGCTGCTGCTGCAGCAGCAGTTCCTTCTCTTGTTCTTTCTGCTGCTGCAGAAACATCTCCTCCTCTTGCTGCTGCTGCTGCTGCTGCTGCGCTGCTTGCTGCCTCTCTTCTGGGGTGAGCGGGGTCATGTCGCAGTGACTCACGAACTCGCAGTAGCGGCATTTCCACCGTTCCGAACTCTGCAGCAGCAGCAGCAGCAGCAGCAGCAGCAGCGCCAGGAGCAGGTGTGAGCAGTTGCTCTCAGCAGCACGGCGCAAATCAGCAGACTGGCGACTCAAGCTGAGTCGCCCTCAGCAGCAGCAACAGCAGCAGCGCCGCGAGGAACAGCAGCAGCAGCAGCGCAGCAGCACCGATCATAGCAGCAGCAGCAGCAGCAGCAGCTCACCCCGACTCCCTCCGTGAGTCTTTCTCCTTTCCACCAGGCCAGCAAATCATAAAAGGCAAAAGAGAAAGCGCCCCAATTAAACGGCACCCGCTCGCGGGCAAAGATCTTACCTGCAGCCAGCAGCAGCAGCAGCAGCAGTGGCAGCAGCAGCAGTGGCAGCAGCAGCAGACGCAGTGGAGGTAACAATAGTAGCGGCAACCATTCAAAAGGCAGCAGCAAAGATTGCGGCCGAAGCACTAGCGTTAACAAAAGCAGCGTAGGCAGAACAAGCCACAGCAGCAGCAGCAGCGGCAGCAGCAGCAAACGGCAGCACCAAATACAGCTGCAGCAGCAAAACAAGTACAAGCAGCAGCAGCGACCGAGACACCAAAGGGGAAACAGCGAAAGCAGATGCATGCGAAAAAATGCCTGGGGGTGTAGCCTGTAGGCCAGCAGCAGCAGCAGCAGCAGCAGCAGTAGCAGCAGCAGCAGCAGCGGCACCTTGGCACTCGTAAACGATGTGCAGCTCGTCAGCAGGGGGAGGCAGGCGCTGCAGCAGCTGCTGCAGCAGCAGCAGCACTGTTTTGAGATTGGGTGCTTCGTCAAAGGTGAGGCAGCTGCTGCTGCTGCTACCGCTGCAGTAGTTGCTGCTGCAGTGCATGCGCTGAATCTGCTGCTCAGTCTGCTGCAGAGCCTCCAGTAGCAGCGGGGACTCAAAAGGGGCCAAAATCTCCTCTCCCTCTGCTGCAGCGAGTGGCTGTAGCAGCTGCAGCAGCTGCTGCGGTTGCTGCTGCTGCAGCGTGTGCACCATGAAGTTGTATATCTGCGCGCAACCAGCAGCAGCAGCAGCAGCAGCAGCAGCAGCAGGGAGTGTAGTGCAACAAGGCCGCAGGTGAAGCAGCATCTGCAAAGAGACAGATGGGACTTCAACAGCACCGGCCGGGAGCAACAAGAAGCAGCAGCTAGCAGCAGAACAGCAGCAGCAAGCAGCAGAAGCACGCAGCAGCAGCAAGCACCAAAAAAACAAGAAGTAGAAGGCAGCCGCTGCAGCCATTGCAGCCGCCGCAGCAGCTCAAGCCGCTGCAGCAACCGTAGCTGTTGAAGCAGTTGCAGCCGCTGCAGCCGCTGCAGCAGCAACCATAGCTGTTGAAGCAGCTGCAGCCGCTGCAGCCGCTGCAGCAGCTGCAGCAACTGCAGCAAGTGCAGCCGTTGCAGCAGCTGCAGCCGTTGCAGCAGCTACAGCCGTTGCAGCAGTTGCAGCCACTGCAGCAGCTACGGCTGTTGCAGCAGCTGGAGCCGCTGCAGCCACTGCAGCAGCTACAGCCGCTGCAGCCGCTGCAGCAGCCGCAGCAGCTGCAGCAGGCCTGTGCTGCTGTGCTGCTGCTGACCTGCAGCTGAATTGCTGCTGTTTGCTTCTGAGCCATGGAAGGTGTTGTTGGCTGTCTTCTTGTTTTGGTGTCGCTGATGAGCAAATAGGCTTCTGCTGCTGCTCCCAGCTGCTGCAGCTGACACAGAGTGCAGCAGCAGCTGCTGCAGCTGCTGCAGCTGCAGCGCGCCCTCCCGCTGCTGCTGCCGCTGCTCGCGGAACCACTGCTGCTGCGCTGCTGCAGCTGCTGCAGCTGCTGCAGGTGCTCGAGCGCTGGAGTGTACGTACACCCCACGCGGTCTCTCACGACGAGACTCAGCTCATCGATTATTCCGCGCAGCAGCACAGTCTCCCTGCTGCTGCTGCTGCTGCTGCTGCTGCTGCTGCTCGGCGCTTCTGGGTATGCGTCCGAGAGAAGATACACCTCGCGGCAGCAGCCGCGGCGCAGCAGCTGCAGCAGCTGCTGCAGCGAATTCAGCAGCCTGAAGCCTAAGAACTGCAGAAGCAGCACAGACACCAGCAGCAGGACCTGAGAAACAAGAAGCCCAGGCAGCAGCAGCAGCAGCAGCAGCAGCAGCAACTCACGTCTTGTATGTTTTCAACTTCAAGGGGCCAGTATAAATGGTAGCGCATTTCTATCGCCGCATGCTGCTCCGTGCCTGAGGTGTACATACACTGCAGCCTATTCGTCAATTTTGCTGCAGCAGCAGCAGCAGCTGCTGCTGCAGCAGCAGCAGCCCTAGCAAGAATGGCAGCACCAGCCGCAGAAGAATTAGCAGCAGCAGCCACAGGAAAGCTACGAGCAGCAGCAGCAGTCACAGGAAAACTAGGAGCAGCAGCAGCAGCAGCCACAGTGAAACTGCGAGAAGCAGCAGCAGCAGCCACAGGGAACCTGCGAGAAGCAGCAGCAGCAGCCACAGGAAAACTACAAGCAGCAGCAGCAGCAGCCACGGGAAAGCTACGTGCAGCAGCAGCAGCAGCACCAGCAGCAACCCCAGCCAGCCGCACAGCAGCAGCGTCGGCAGCCCCCTGCAGACCCGCCGCCGCCGCAGCAAGACCACTACCAGCAGCAGCAGCAGCAGCAGCAGCAGCAGCAGCAGACCTTGGCGCATGGCAGCAGTTGTTCGCTTTTTGGTGAAAGTGCGCAGATACAATTCGGCCTGGCGGTCGCACCAAACTTGAGCAGCAAAATCGGTGGCGGACAGCAGCAGCCGCTTGCGGGCCAGCAGCGGGCCCAGGTACTTCAGCTCCAGGCCCCCCACCCTGCTGCTGCTGCTGCTGCTGCTGCTGCTGCTGCTGCGGGGGGTGGCGGGGGCCGACAGCGCGCTGGCCGCCGCCGCCAGGTCTTCGATGTCCCCGCACGCCGAGGGACACAGCCCCGCCTGCTGCTGCTGCTGCTGCTGCTGCTGCTGAGTTTGTTCTTCCTGCTGCTGCTGCTGCTGCTGCTGCTGAGTTTGTTCTTCCTGCTGCTGCTGCTGCTCCTGGCTCAGTCTTGGCAGCCGGACGGTCGCCTGCGAAGCGTCGCTTCCATCCTGGCTGCTCACCAAGGCTGCTGCTGCTGCTGCAGCAGCTGCTCCCGCTGTTGCTGCTAGCGTGACCGGTGCAAATGGCGCTAAGTCTTGCTGCTGTTTTGCTGCAGCAGCAGCAGCTGCTGGCGCTCTCTCCCTTTGTTCACTTGCTGCAGCAGCAGCCGCTGAGGCGTCTGCCGCTACAGGATCAGCACCAGCAACTGCAGCAGCAGCAGCTGCTTCTCCCTTGGCCTTGAGCGCATGGCTCTTTTTCACATCAAAGAAAACAATTTTGTTTCCATCTGCATGTGCAGCAGCAGCAGCAGCAGCAAAAGTCTCCCACGGAGGTGACTTCGCCCGTGTTCCGGCTGCGGCTGCAGCATCTGCTGCAGGCGCAGCAGCAGCAGAGGCGACTGCTGCTGCAGCAGCAGCTGCTGCTTCTTCGCCTGTCATCGACACATGAGCCGGTCAACTACGTGTCTGCAGCAGCAGCAGCAGCAGCAGCAAAACTAGCAGCAAGAGGGGCCGTCCAACCCACTGGGGCCGATGCGACTACCCTCCCTAGCTTGTGCTACAAGTACGGTGGTGATGCTGCGAGCAGCAGCAGCAGCAGCAGCAGCAGCAGCAGCAGCAGGAGGGGGCCACAAGGTCCTGCGGGCTCTGGGGGCCCCTCTGTCTTCAAGTGTCTGCAGCTCTCTTTTTGCCAAAAAGGAACAAAAAAATGAATTAAAAATGTATAAATACTTTGCTGCTGCTGCTGCTGCTGCTGCCTGTGCTGCAGCTGCAGCAACTGGCCAGGGGTGTTGCGGTCGGGGGCCCCCCGCGAGGGGCCCCCCTGGGGGCCCCACACGGGGAGCTGCAACAGTACCCTTTGCTTCTCAAAGAAGTTGTTTTTGCTGCCAATATAAACCCCTAAAATTCAATTCTGCCCAAAACCTAATGCTGCTGCTGCTGCAGTTGCTGCTGCTGCTGCAGCAGCAGTTACTGCCGACACCTCTGCGGAGTTCTACCTCCAGCCTTTAGTCTCCTCCCGTTGAGAACGTTGAGTACGAAATAAGCGCATGCAGAAGCACTAAACCCTAAACCCTAAACCCTAAACCCTGAACACCAGTCTGAAGGCTCGAATAGCTGTTAGCCCTCGCGAGCCCTCTGCCAAGAAGGCAAGGGCTCGCTGGCTAGCTAGGCAGCTAGCCAGCTAGCGAGCTAGCTAGCTAGCTAACTAGCCAGATGGCTAGCTAGCCAGCTAGCTAGTTAGCTAGCTGATTAGCTAGCTAATCAGTGGCAGCTAGGCAGCGCGTCAGCTAGCTAGTTCGCCTGCTAGCTAGCTAGCCAGCTAGCTAGCTAGAAAGCAAGCCAGGTAGCTAGCTAGCTAAATACCTGGCTAGCTAGCTAGCTAGCTAGCTAGCCAGCTAGCTAGCTAGCTGCGCTCGCAGCTAGCTAGCTCTGGCCCGACTTAGGTGGCTTGCCGTTGGCGCTTCGCTCAGTGCTGGCTAGCTAGCCAGTTCCCCGGCACCTGCTGCTGCTGTTGCTGCTGTTGCTGCTGCTGCTGCTGCTGCAGCCGCTGCGCTGCAAAACCATAAAAGGGCCCGCCGAAGAAGCCGAAGGGCAGCAGCAGAGCCCTTGGCAGCTGCTTCGCCGTTTTGAGTGTTTCTTGCATTTTTTTCTTCTTTCTTTTTCTTTTCTTTTTAATTATTTTATTTTATTTGTTTTATTTATTTTTATTTCTTTTTATTTCTCTTTCTCTCTTTAGTAGACGCGCCTCATGGGGGGCACTGGCTCCATTTCGGAGTCCAGGGGCTGGCTCTGGACAGGCCGGTAAGCCAGCTCAAACTGCAGCAGCAGCAGCAGCAGCAGCAACAGCAGCAGCAGCAACAGCAGCAGCAAACGCAGGAACGCAAGCTCTTGAACGCAGACGCATGCACCGTGGAGCGTGTGCAAGACACAGGAATCCCTAGCAGCAGCAGCAGCAGCAGCAGCAGCAGCGAAAGCCTCAGCAGCAGCTGCTGCAGCAGCAGCAGCAGCAAATTGAAGTGATCGACAGGAGAAGCAAATGTGCCGCAGAAGGGAAAAAGGAAACACCAAGGAAAAAGCAGAAAAGATAAAAGATAAAAAGACAAAAAGACAAAAAGATAAAAAGAGATTAAAAAAATAAAAAAACAAAAATAGAAAAAAGGAAGAATAAGAAATGCGCAGAAGCACAAGAGACTCCAACAGCAAAAAGGGGCAAAAAAGGAGACACACAGGTACAGCAGCTGCTGCAGCTGCTGCTGCTGCTGTAGCTGCTGCAGTAGCTGCTGCTGCTGCTGCTGCTGCAGCTGCTGCCCCACCTGAGCTGTCTCTACGTCTCGGCCTTTCTGGAAGGACAGGGAGTGGACCATCCACTCCTCGTCGTTTCGGTCCTGTGCACAAGTCCAGCAAACCCTAAACCCTAAACCCTAAACCCCAAACCCTAAACCCTAAACCCTAACTCTAAAGCCTTGCTTGGCCCTCAGCACTAGCCCATTCATTCGCCGCTGGGCCGCTTTGGCCTCTCAACCGTGCACCCGAAACCCCAGACCCCAAACCCTAAAGCCCAAACCCTAAACCCCAAGCCCTAAACCCTAAACCCTAAACCCTAAACCCTAAAGGCACCTTGAAGTCCTCCCTGGCGTGGGCCCCGCGGCTCTCCTTGCGGGCTTCTGCGCTCAGGACAGTTTGCGTGGCTTGGCTCAGGAGGTTTTCGAGTTCAAGGGTTTCCACCAAGTCCGTGTTCCTGCAGCAAACCCTAAACCCTAAACCCTAAACCCTAGACCCTACGCCCTACGGCCTGCCCCCCGCGGTTCAGCCCAAACGCACACAGCAGCAGCAGCACCAGCAACACGAGCAGCAGCAGCACCCGCACCAGCGGCAGCAATAGCAGCAGCAGCACCCACCAGCAGCAGCAGCAGCAGCAGCAGCAGCAGCAGCAGCAGCAGCAGCAGCAGCAGCAGCAGCAGCAGCAGCAGCAGCAGCAGCAGCAGCAGCAGCAGCAGCAGCAGCAGCAGCAGCAGCAGCAGCAGCAGGCGCACCAAGCTCTGGACTTGTCTGTGACGCGGATGTCTGCAAACTGTTTTGCGATTTCTTTCATTTTGGCTACGCCCTCAGCCAAGACAGGCCCCGTGCGGAAAACAGCAGCGTGGTCCTGCATAGTCTGCAGCAGCAGCAGCAGAAGCAGCAGCAAGTGGGGGAGCAGGAGCGGCGGCAGCAGCGAGGAGAGTGGCGGGAGCAGCAGCAGCAGCAAGAACGCCAACAGCAGCAACACCTCGCTGTGATTCTGCTGCAGCGTGACAGCCGCGCCACTACCCCGTGAGGCAGCAGCAGCAGGAAGTTCAGCAGCAGCAGCGGCAGCAGCAGCGAGCCCAGCGGCAGGAGCAGCGACAGCCAGAGCACAGCAGCAGCGCAGCAGCAATGCACACGCAGCAGCAGCAGCCACCGCCGCAGCCGCCGCAGCGAAGCCACCAGCAGGAACGCATAAGCAGCAGCAGCAGCAGCAGCAGCAGCAGCAGACCTTTTGCATCCGCTCTCTGATTTCTGCTGCTGTGTGGCTGCCGTTGTTGTTTTTAATTTTGTCAATTCGCGCCAGAGTCTCTTCTCCGGCATCGGGGCGCAGCGAGGGTTTAGGGTTTGCTGCAGGAGAGGACATGAGACAAGCACTGCTGCTGCCGCTGCTGCTTGCTTGCTGCTGCTGCAGTTGCTGCTTGCTTGCTGCTGCTGCTGCTGCTGCTGCGGCCAGCGCGCCTCGCCTGTGCGGCGCTGCTGCCGTTCCCTCCGCCGCAGGCGCCTAGGCGCAGCGCCTCCCGAAAGCCCAAAGCCTAAACCCTGAACCCTAAACCCTAAACCCTAAACCCTAAACCCTCGACGCACACTTTTTGACTTTTTCCGAAATAACATCTGCAGCTTGTTTGCCAAAAACCACCAAGTCCAGCAGCGAGTTGGCCCCCAGTCTGTTAGCCCCATGAACAGAAGCGCATGCAGCTTCGCCTGCTGCGTAGAGGCCCTCCAACACGCACTCTTCCGCTGCAGCAAACCCTAAACCCTAAACCCTAAACCCTAAACCCTAGACGCTGAACCCCAAATGATGGACCCCAAAGCCCCCACCCCAAGTTCCATCGCCCAACCCCACCCTCAGGCGACCCCCACCCCAAACCACAAACCCCAAACCCCAAACCCTAAACCCTAAACCCTAAACCCTAAACCCTAAACCCTAAACCCTCGTCGCACCCATGCGGCCCTTGCCCTTGACGCAGTGAATGACTTCAGAGCGCCAGTTTGTGGGAATTCCCCCCATGTTATAATGCACTGTTGGCAGCACTGGAATCGGCTGCTTCGTCACATCCACTCCTGCAGCAAACACCAAGCTTCCTGCTGCCTGCTGCAGCAGCAGCAGCAGCTTCTGCTGCTGCTGCTGCAGCTCCTGCTGAGCAGCAGCTGCTGCAGCCAGTGCTGCTGCAGCCGATGGTGCTGCGGCAGCTGGTGCTGCAGCAGATGGTGCTGCAGATGTCGCGCGGCCAGTAGGGCTCGCCGCTGCTGCGAGGGCTTAGGGTTTAGGGTTTAGGGTTTAGGGTTTAGGGGACCTGCAAAGATCTTGGCTGTTTCGGTAATGCCCGGCAGCCGCGAATGGAGGGTTTCGGGGTCGAGGTGGGTGAGGTCGAGGTGGCAGTGGTCTTTGCGGGGCCCGCAGCCGCGCCCTGGGGCCGCAAACCCTAAACCCTAAACCCTAAACCCTAAACCACCGCGCTGACGCTAAACCCTAGCAGCTGCAGCGAAGACTGGACACTGGCGGGCACAGCCAGGAGACGCCACTGGCGGTCTCTCTACCGCTTTCAGACAAACAGAAGAAACTGCCTAGGGTTTAGGGTTTAGGGTTTAGGGTTTGGCACTTCAATACCTTCGCGGATTTCTATTGTCATCGAACGCGAGACCACGTCTCGGCTAGCCAAGTCCTTTGCCGTCGGAGCGTAACTGCAAACAAACCCCAAACCCTAAACCCTAAACCCTAAACCTTAAACCCTAAACCCTAAACCCTAATTCTCTAGCCCCAGACTCTTCTGTGCTGGCTGAAGACCCATTTGTGAGCTTGAGCGACACTGAACTCCAAGACCCAGCAACACTACTGAGCCCTAAACCCTAAACCCTGGACCTCAAACCCTAAACCCTAAACCCTGGACCTCAAACCCTAAACCCTAAACCCTGGACCTCAAACCCTAAACCCTAAACTCTAGCCCTGGTTCTGGCCTCACCGAGCCATGAAGGCTTCTCCCTCGCTGTTGCGAAGAATGCCTCCTTCTCCTCTGCAGCCCTCGGTAATCAAGCAGCCTGTTCAGAAGCGCAAACCCCAAACCCTAAACCCTAAACCCTAAACCCTAAACCCTAGCAGCAAGTCCCAACCCTCTGCACCTGCGGAACCCTGCAAAGCGTTGTGGGGCTACGCAGCTGCCGCCCCTGCCGCAGGGCGCTGCTGCGGCGCCCGCCTGGGCCCTCCACCTAGGGCTTAGGGTTTAGGGTTTAGGGTTTAGGGTTTGGACCCGCGGGGAAAATGCCCGTGGGGTGGAACTGAACAAACTCCAAGTCCTGCAAAGCCACGCCAGCCCTCGCGGCCATCGCCCCTCCGTCTCCAGTGCAAGTGTGTGCAGAAGTGCAGCTTTGGTAGGCCCGCCCGTACCTGCGCAAACCCTAAACCCTAAACCCTAAACCCTAAACCCTAAACCCTGGGCGGGGCCCCGGGCGCCGTCCCGCGGCCCTGCCTGCGCGCGCGCGGCCGCAAACCCCAAACCGCGCCCCGCCCCCCACAACACCCAAACCCCAAACCCTAAACCCCAAACCCTAAACCCTAAACCCTAAACCCTCACCCGCCAGTGGCGAGGACTGTGTGGTTTGTGGCGAATCTGTGGATCGAACCATCTTCAAGACAGAGGGCCAGTACCCCCACGCAGCGGGGGGGCCCCCCGGGGGCCCCCGGGGCCTCCATTAAAAGGTCTAGAGCGAAGTACTCGACAAAGAAGTTGCAGGAAAAAGATAAGGCCCTTCCGTACAAAGTATGCAGCATTGCGTGGCCTAAGCAGCAGCAGCAGCAGCAGCAGCAGCAGCGGCAGCGGCAGCGGGGGGGGGGGCGCTCGTTGAGAACGGCATGCAGCGGCAGCAGCAGCAGCAGCGCGGGAAAAGCCGCTCGGGCACAAAGGCAGCAGCAGCAGCAGCAGCAGCAGCAGCGGCACCAGCGCAAGCAGCAGCAGCAGGGAAAGGTCCACTTGCCCAAAAAGGGCAAGCAGCAGCAGCACCAGCAGCAGCAGCAGAAGCAGCAGCAGCAGCAGAAGCAGCAGCCATCTAAGTAGAAGCAGACTCAGCAAAGGAGTCACCGGGAGCAGCAGCAGAAGCAATCCGAAGACAAATCCCACAGTTCCGAACCCTAAACCCTAAACCCTAAACCCTAAACCCTAATCCCTTGAGGTACCAGTTCTGTCGGCTGCAGCAGCACAACGGTAAGCCTGTCCTCCCTTTCCGAACTTCAACGACTGGCCGCCAAAAGCTCTCTGCGAGCAAACCCTAAACCCTAAACCCTAAACCCTAAACCCTTAACCCTAAACCCTATGTATTCACATGAACAGCCGCTATACCTAAACCCTTGCTTAGTTCACAATGCCTTGGCCGCGGCCACAGCTGCAAGCCTTAAACCAAAAACCTCTAGCCCCCCAAACCCCAAACCCTAAACCCTAAACCCTAAACCCTAAACCCTCGCCTGGTATATTTTGCCGTCTTTGGTCCTAGAAAAAGGAAGCCCGTAGGACTCCAGCTCGCGCACAACATGAGGGGCCTCGCGGCACATGTGCTGAATGGCATCCTGAAGAAGCCAGGCCCAAACCCTAAACCCTAAACCCTAAACCCTAAACCCTAAACCCTAAACCCTAAACCCTAAGCCACAACTCCTCGCTTGCCTGGTCTCCCAGCCAGTCCGAGCCCTTTACAGTGTCGAAGGCATGCCACCGCCAGTCGTCCTGCGCAAGCAGCAGCCGCCAAACCCTAACCCCTAAACCCTAAACCCTAAACCCCCACCTAAATTTAGACACAGACTTCAGGGCACTGCTTCAAAACTTCTATCGTATGGGCTTGTGGATCTAAACACCGTTCGCTGCGCCCTCGCTGCTGCTGCCAGCTTGTGCTGCTGCTGCTAGCTGCTGCTGATGCTGCCAGCTGCTGCTGCTGCTGCTGCCAGCTGCTGCTGCTGCCGAGCCCAAAAGCTAGCTAGCCAGCTGGTGCGCTGCTTTGCTAGCTAGCCAACTTTAGCGCGCTCAGCAGGCAGCTAGCTAGCTAGCTAGCTAGCTAGCTAGCTGCTCCGCTCAGCAGCTAACTGGTCACAGAGCTAGGGAGCTAACCAGCTAGCCAGCCAGCTAGCTAGCTAGCTAGCTAGCTGATTAGCCAGCTGGCTAGTTAGCTGGCTAGCTATCTGATCAGCCAGCTGGCTAGCTAGCTGGCTAGCTAGCTGGCTAGCTGCCTAGTTAGTTGGCTAGCTATGTTTCTAGCTGTGGACTGGCTAGCTAGTTAGCTACCTGGCTAGCTAGCCGGTTAGCTGCCCAGCTAGCTAGCCCGCAGCTAGCTAGCCAGCTAGCTGCAGGCTAGCTAGCTAGCTAGCCAGCTGCCGGACATCCAGCTGCGCACTAGTCAGTTAGCTAGCTACAGGGCTACAGGCTAGCTAGCTAGCTAGCTAGCTAGCCAGCCAGCTAGCTAGCTAGCTAGCTAGCTAGCTAGCTAGCCGGGGGCTAGCTGGCCCACCTCACACATGTTGCCCAGCGCCGCGTTGATGCCGCCCTGGGCCGCCACAGTGTGGGAGCGAGTGGGGAAGAGTTTGCTGATGCATGCGGTCCGCAGCCCTGCAGCAGCAGCAGCAGCAGCAGCAGCAGCAGCAGCAGTTGTAGCAGCAGCATGGCTCCAGGCAGAGCAGCAACAGTTTCCCCTACGTCCCGCAGCAGTAGCACTCTCAAAGAAGTGCTTCAGCGCGCCGCTGCAGCAGGTGGTTCCGTGTAGGGTTTAATCTAGGCTGCGCGGCTAGGGTTTAGGGTTTAGGGTTTAGGGTTTAGGGTTTAAGGTCACCTTGGGAAGCCAGGCCAAATGCCGCGCGCAGGCCGGCGCCCCCCGCGCCGACAACAACAGCGTCGAAGGTGTGGGTCTTCACCTCATATCCTCCTGCAGCAGCAGCAGCAGCAGCAGCAACAGCATCAGCAGCAGCAGCAGCAGCTGCTGCTGCTGCTGCTGAAGGCAGCCTTCACAAGCCCTCGTGCTCCATGCTGCACCCACCAATTTTTGAAACACTGGGTCCTGTTACTGCAGCAGCGGCAGAGGAGAAGCAGGCAATGTGTTGGCTGCAGCTGCTGCTGCTGCTGCTGCTGCTGTAGGCAGCAGCAGCAGCAAGGCGGCTTGACAAATGCCTCTGGAGTGACGCTGCAATCATCATTGCAGCAGCAAGAGCAGCAGCAAAGAGTGCTTAAAGGGAGGAGGGCAATTCACACAGCAGCATCAACGGGGCGAACAACGAGAGCTGCTGCTGCTGCTGCTGCTGCTGCTGCTGCTGCTGCTGCGGCTGCGGCTGCTGCGGCTGCTGCTGCTGTCGCGTTCACCAATAAGGATATTCCGACTTCGTGTGCCTTAAAAATAAGATCCCTGTAGCTTGCTGCTGGCGTTGCTGCTGCAGCAGCCGCTGCATGCAGCGGGTCTACAGAGGGCTTCTGCTCCTGCTGCTGCTGCTGGGAGCGGACTCTCGGCGCAGCAATAGCAGCAACGGCAGCAGCAGCTGTTGGGCCTTCTTTAGATTTTTTGTTGTCTTTTAATGTTTCTCGACATTTATTTTGAAAAATAATCTCTATTGGCCTTTCAATAAACGCGTGTGACACCTTGTGGGGTATATCTGGAGCGCAGCAGGACCAGCAGCCGCAGCCGCAGCAGCAGCAGCAGCAACCGCAGCAGCAGCAACAGCAACTTTGTCTTCGGCGGGATTGCTTCGTTTTCCTTTTAAAAAGGTGGAACTTCGCTCTTTGCTTTCCTTGGGGGCCCCCACGCTCTATGTGTAGGTCTGAAGGCAGCATCAGCCGCTGCAGCAGCAGCAGCAGCAGAAGCAGCAGTAGCGCTAGCAGCCCCAAGGGCAATAACAACAGCAGCAGCACCAACAGGGATAGCAGCAGCAGAAGGCAATGCATGCAGCAAATGAGGGGCCTGAGGGCGGCCCCGAGGGTGTGCAGAATGCCGCAGCAGCAGACGGCGCCGCAGCAGCAGCTGCTGAAGACCTGAATGCAGCAGCAGCATCTGCAGCAGCACTAGCAGCAGAGGCAGCAGCAGCAGAAGCAGCAGCAGCAGAAACAGCAGCAGCAGAGGCAGCAGCAGCAGAAGAAGACGCAGCAGCAGACGCAGCAGAGGAAGAGTTTGGGCAGGAGGATTATGACGATGCGAGCTCTTTTTACGACCTGAGTGCTGCTGCTGCTGCTGAGTTCCTGCAGCAGCAGCTGCAGCAGGGAGCAGCAGCAGCAGCAGCAGCCGCAGGATCCCAATCGGGGGAGTACCGGCTGCTGCTGCAGCACATGCCGGAGGGCCCGGAAGCAGCAGCAGCAGCAGCAGCGCAGCGCAGCAGCAACCTGCTGGGGAGGTCCGCAGACGTGCAGCAGCAGCCGCGGCAGTTCTCCGCGTGGGAAGCAGCAGCAGCAGCAAAAGGAGGTGCAGCAGCAACAACAGCAGCAGCAGCACTGATAGGGGCGCTGCTGCCTGCGGGCCCGGGGAGCCTGCCGCCGGAGGCGGCGGAGCCGTTTGCTGCAGTGATGGCCGCAGCAGCAAACGAGACTGCAGCAGCAGCAGCAGCAGCAGCAGCAGCAGCAAAACCCCTCGTCACTTTCCGAGATCTTGGAATTCTCCCCCCACTTCTCAAAGCCCTAGCAGCTGAGGGTTTTCATTACCCCACTCCCGTGCAGGCTGCTGCACTGCCTGTAACCCTCGCGGGGCACGGTCTGCAAACCCTAAACCCTAAACCCTAAACCCTAGACCCTGAGGTCTAGGCTCTCGCCCGCAGCCGCAGCAAACGCTCTGAGCACAGAGCCACGAGCACCCCCCAAACCCTAAATCCCACTTTTAATCTTGCGATTAGGCGCAAAGCAGCTCTTTCTAGGTTTAGGGTTTAGGGTTTAGGGTTTAGGGTTTAGGGTTTGTGTGTTTGCTGCTCGCAGACGCAGTGGTGCAGGCCAAGTCAGGCACGGGGAAGACAGTGGCATTTGCTTTGCATGCGCTGCAGCTGCTGCTGATTGCAGCAACAACTGAAGCGCCAGCAGCAGCAGCAGCGCCCCCAGCAGCAGCAGCAGCAGCAGCAGCAGCAGCAGCAGCAGCAGCAGGAAACTTCTTCGGCTTCGCTCTCGCCATCGCTCCCTCTCGAGAGCTCGCCGCCCAAACCTGCAGCGAAATCCAGGGGCTTGGGTCCCACATTTTGCAGTTTGTAAACCCTAAACCCTAAACCCTAAACCCTAAACTTCAAACCCTAAACCCCAGGTCCTGGCTTCGCAAGCCGTGCAGGCCTTGTGGGGACACAGGACAAAATGCAAGCTGTTTTGTTGCCAAGATTTAGGGTTTAGGGTTCAGGGTTTAGGGTTTGGGGTTTAGGGTTTAGGGTTTAGGGTTTGGGGCTAGTGTCGTGTGTGTCGTTTTTGTCTTCTTTCGTATCTTTGGATTTTTAAAGAAAGCTGCCTTTCACTTTATTGCGCGTGCTGCTGCTGCTGTCGCTGCCTGCTGCTGCTGCTGCTGCTGCCTTTTGCTGCTGCTGTTGCTGCTGCTGCTGCTGCTGCAGCACGTGACTGTCTGCTGCTTGCTTGGAGGTGTCTCCACAAATGTCTCTGTCCACGAGCTCGCGAAGAGGCCCCAAATCATTGTTGCGACTCCCGGTAAACCCTAAACCCTAAACCCTAAACCCTAGCACTGAGGAGGCCAGTGCCGAAGTGCTGCCAGCGCTGCTGCTCACTTCAAAAAGAGACACCGCGAGCTGCTGCCATTGCTGCCGCTACTTTTGCTGCTGCTCCTGCTGCTGCCACTGCTGCTGCTGCTGCTGCAGGGCGTTTGCTGCTGCTGCTGAACCTCCGCAAGCAGCGCAGGCGCGGCCGCTGTCTTTGCGCCCAGTCGAAGAGAGTGGCTGAAGCAGCAAAGGCAACAGCAGAAGCAGCAGCAGCAAACGCAGCAGCAGCAGAGGAGTCTGCTGCTGCTGCAGCGGGGGACGCTGCTGCTGCTGCTGCTGCTGCGGCTGAGACGGCGCAGCAGAACGCAGAGAACGCCGCGCTCTTTGCTGCCAGCGCCCAAGCAGCAGCAACAGCAGCAGCAGCACTGTGCAGCTGCAGCAACGTTTCGCTGCAGCAGCAGCTGCAGCAGCAGCTTCGCCTTGTTATTCTGGATGAGGCCGATCTGCTGCTGGACAACTTTTTCAGAGCGCAAACCAAGTCAGTGCTGCTGCTGCTGCTGCTGCTACAATCGCGGCTCGTTTTTTGCTGCAGCTGCTGCATGGCTGTTGTTGGCGCTGCTGCCAGCTCGAAGGTTTGGGTTTTGCTGCTGCATGGGCACCTAAAACCTCGACATAGGCACGTTTCTTGCATTTGCTGCTGCTGCTGCTTCTGCTGCTGCTGCTGCTGCTGCTGCTGCTGTGTGCAGAGAGATCCTGGAAAGGGTGCTGCGGCCGCGAGCGCAGCTAACTGCATACTCAGCAACGTTTGCCCCGCAGCTGCTGCACTACCTTGAGAACGATTTGCTGCAGGGCTCGGAGAGGCTAGTTGCTGCTGCTGCTGATGATGAGCAGCAGCAGCAGCAGCAGCAGCAGCAGGAGGGAAATGTGCAGCAGCAGACACAGCCAAGGGAGATCCGCCGGGTGTTTCTTTGCTCTTCCCGCGTGCGCTTTGCGCCTAGCCCGAGCCCAGACAGCAGCAGCAGCAGCAGCAGCAGCAGCAGCGCGGCGGGTGGGGCTAGCTGCGAGCCCGGGGGCGGCCAGGAGAGCGACGACAGCAGCAGCAGCAGCAGCAGCGACAGCAGCAGAGACGCAGAAGAACTTTCAGCGCTGGAGTCTCTCGAAGCAGAAGCTGCTGCTGCTGCTCAGCGGCAGGCGCTGCTGAAGCTGCAGCAGCAGCGGATGGCCGATGCTGCTTTGCCGCCCCCGGTCCCCTCAGGTCTGCTGCTGCTGCTGCTGCTGCTGCTGCTGCTCGTGCTGCTGTTGCTGCTGCGGTCGTCACTGCGCTGCGGACCACCTTTTTTCTCGCGCAGAGCTGCTGCTGCTGCAGCAGATCTTGTTTCTGCTGCTGCTGCTGGCACTGCTGCAGCGTGTCCTGCTGCTGCCGCTGCTGCTGCCGCTGCGACTACTGCGACTGGTGTTATTTCTGCTGCTGCTGCGCCGTGTGCAACTCATCTCGCTGCTGCTGCTGCAGCTTGTCTCAGCTCTGCTGCTACTGCTGCTGCTGCTGCAGCTTGTCTCACCTGTGCCACTGCTGCTGCTGCTGCTGCTGCTGCTGCAGGGATAATATACGGGCTAATGGAGCTGCCCCTGGAGAACTCGGGGCTGCGCACTTTGGGGCTGAAGCTGCAGCTGCTGCTGCATGCAATGAGCCGCATATACTTTCGACAAGCTGTGGTTTTCGTCAATGAACCCGTCGTGTAAACCCTAAACCCTAAACTCTAAACCCTAAACCCTCAGCAAGGAGTCCTTGAACACAACAGTCCGCGGCGCGGAGCAGCAAACCCTAAACCCTAGTTCCTAGGCGCTGCTGCTGCAGCCTCGCTCCGCAGCACAAAACACTAAACCCTAGCGGGCAACCAGGGTTTAGGGTTTAGGGTTTAGGGTTTAGAGTTTGAGCTCTGCGCATGTGTTGCTGCAGCGGAACTCATGTGGCTCAGAGCCTCCGGCGCCTCGGCATTACCGCCGTGTACACGAGGTGAGGGCCGAGGAGGTTTAAGGGTTTAGGGTTTAGGGTTTAGAGTTTAGGGTTTAGGGTCTAGGACTTAGGGTTTAGGGTTAGGGGTTCAGGGTTTAGGGTTAAGGGTTTAGCGTCTAGAGTTTAGGGTTTAGGGTTTGGGACGTGAAGGGTGCGAGCTTGCGGCGGCGGGGCCCTCTGCCACCTCAAACCCTAAACCCTAAACCCTAAACCCTAATTGTGCTGCTGCGGCTTCAGCGGCAGACTGCCTCAGAGCGAACGAAACAAACGCGTGGCGGCCCTCAAGAGGTTTGAGTGCAGGGTCATGGTCTGTTCCGACCTGGTGAGGGTTTAGGGTTTAGGGTTTAGGGTTTAGGGTTTAGGGTTTAGGGTTTAGCGTCTAGGGTTTAGGGTTTAGGGTTTTGAGTTTCAGATTTGAGTTCTGCTAGACTGATTCGTTTCAGCGTATCGTGGGCAGAACTGTGCCACTCTAGGGTTTAGGGTTTAGGGTTTTGGGTTCAGGGTTTAGGCTATAAGGTTAATAGGCTTTGGAGTTTAGGGTTTAGGATTTAGGGTTGTGGGATTCAGGCTAGGGTTTAGGGTTAAGGGTTTAGGGTTTACGGTTTGAGGTTTGTTTTCAGATGAGCCGCGGAATCGACGCAGTTGGCGTGGACTTCGTCATCAATTTCAACCTGCCCATGGTTCGCTGCGGCTGCTGTTGCTGCTGCTGCTGCTGCTGTTGCTGCTGCTGCTGCTGCTCCTGTTGTTATTTCTGCTGCTGCTGCTGCTGCTGCTGCTAGCAGCTGCTGTGCGCTTGCTGCTGCTGGTTCAGCTGTCGTGGTCGTGTTTGCTTCCGGCTGCACGAGCTTCTCGCGCCTCCCTCTCACCGCCGCTTCCGCTGCTGCTGCCGCTGCTGCTGCTGCTGCTGCTGCTGCTGCTGCGCAGGACAAGGAGACGTTTTTGCACCGGGGGGGCCGTGCGGGGCGGTTTGGCAGCTGGGGGGTTTGCTTGTCTCTTGCTGCAGCAGATGAAGCAGCTAGCTACAGATATATAGCAGCTAGCTACGGGATAACATTGCATCCTTTGCACCACATAGAGCAGCTGCAGGAGGCGCTGCTGCCGGACGTGCGGCGGCTGCGTGCTGCTGCTGCTGCTGCTGCTGCTGCTGCGCCCGCCGACGCCCCCGCGCGCCGCCCCGTGGGCACCCCGCAGCAGCAGCAGCAGCAGCGCCTCGTGTTGCTGCGCCCCAGCAGCGAGAGCGACGAGGAGGAGCAGGAGATGACTCCGCAGCAGAAGCAGCTGCTGCTGCGGGACATAGAGCAGCTGCAGCAGCAGCAGCAGCAGCCCGAAAGCTGGGACGACGTGCACCAGCGCATGCAGCAGCAACTCGTGGCCGAGATGCACTTGAAGAGGCAGCAGCACGAGATGGAGCTGCGCAGGCAAGAAAGGCTGCAGCAGCAGATGCAGCAGCAGCAGCAGCTCTACGAGATGGAAGAGCAGGAGTACGAGCGCGAGCAGCAGCAGCAGCAGCACAAGCGGGAGCAGCACCAGCAAGAGCGGGAGCAGCAGCAGCAAGAGTGGCAGCAGCACCGGCGAGAATGGGCGCGCCGGCAGCAAGAATGGGAGCGGCAGCAGCAAGAATGGAAGCAGCAGCTGCAAGGCCAGCAGCAGCGGGACTCGCAGCTGCAGCAGCAACAGCAGCAGCAGACCAGGCAGCAGCAAAACCCAGCAGCACATTCCGCCCCCAGCAGCAGCCGCATAGTGAGGAGGCTGTCAGCAGAAAGCCAGACGAGGGATTATGAGCAGCAGCAGCAGCAGCAGCAGCACGAGGAGCAGCAGCAGCAGCAGCAGCAAGAGCGGGACTCAAGCTTTCCGCTGGACCGTATGTCTTCGCTGCCTTGCCATTCTGCTGCTGGGGCTGCAGCAGCAGCAGCAGCTGGAGTGGCAGCATCTGCCGATCAGGAAGCAGCAGTAGCAGCAACCTACATTTGTGCGCTGCCCACAACTCCCATAGCAGCAGCAGCAGCAGCAGCAACTGCAGCAGCAGCAGAAGACTCTCGTGAAGTCTCAGCGGACGACCGCCCCTCTGCAGCAGCACCGCTGCAGCCCATCCCTGTTCTAGGCTGCTTCCTTCCGGATAAGCTGCAGCAGCTCCATCTGGATCGGCAGCAGCAGCAGCACCAGCAGCAGCAGCAGCAGCAACAGCAGCAGCAGCAGGAGCCGCCCATGACTCTGCAGGTGCAAGCGGTGGGCCGCTGCGCTCTTCACTGCTGCGCAGACGGAAGCAGCAGCTGCAGCTGCAGAACAGATTGCCTGCACTTGGTGCTTGAGTGCCGCGAGGCTGCAGCAGCAGCAGCAGCAGCAACAGCAGCAGCAGCTGCTGCTGCTGCTGAGGAGGCAGCAAAAGCTCGACGGCTGCTGTCCCTCTGCGTCTCCCACAGTCTCCAAGATGTGACAGTGCTCCGGCCGCAGCTAGCTCTTGACGGGGCTGCTTTGCATGCAGTGGTTGCTGCTGCTTCTCCAGGTCCTGCTGCTGCTGCTGCTGCTGCTGCTGACGCTGCTGCTGCAGCAGCAGGCTCCTGCGCAGCAGCACAATTTGTGGGGCGCGAAAGCCAGGGGGCAGAACCGCTGTCTCCGGTGGCGTTTGTGCTGTTCAGACACCTGAGGCAGCCGCAGCAGCAGCAGCAGCTGCAGCAGCAGGTGCAGCAGCAGCAGCAGCACGCAGCGACAGCAGCAGCAGCTCAGATCAGCGCCCAAGAGACCCTCCGCGCCCACAAGCAGCAACTCGAGCTGCTGCTGCACCACAGAAATAGGGATATGGAGGAGCTGCAGCGCAGGCAGCAGCGGGAGCTGCAGCAGCAGCAGCAGCACTGCAACTGGCAGCAGCTTCAGCAGCAACTGACGCAGCACGAGCGCGAGATACAGAAGCTGTGGGAGCGCTACCGGCGGCAGCAGCAAGACGTTAAGAAGCAGCAGCAGCAGGAGCTGCAGCAGCAGCTGCAGCAGCTGCAGCAGCAGCTGCTGCTGCAGCACTTAGCAGCACGTGCAGACGCGCCGCAGCACTTCGTCTTAGCGCTTCCCGCCCAGCAGCTGCCGCGGCTGCTGGTGGCTCTAGAGCATGCTGCTGCTGCTGCTGCTGCAGCTGCTGCATGCCCAGCAGCGAAAGCTCACGGGCCCCCGCAACCGCTGCCTTCTTTTTCGCTGCACGAAGCAGCTCGCTGGTACATTTTTGTGCAGCAGCAAAGCAGCCGCGGGATTGGCAGCAGCAGCAGACTGCAGCAGCAGCTGTGAGCCAGCAGGTCCAGGAATCCCAGAAGCAGCAGCAGCAGCAGCTGCTGCTGCTGCTGCTGCCGCTGCTGCTGCAACTGACTTACCAGTCTGCACTGCTTCTCCGAAGGAGCAATTAAAGCGTCATTGGAGTGTGTATTTTTGCTGCTGCTGCAGCTGCTGCTGCGGCTGCAGGTACTGCGGCTGCAGGTACTGCTGCAGCTGCTGCAGGTACTGCAGCAGCAGCAGCAGCAGCAGCTGCAACAGCAGAAGCAGCTGCTGCTGCTGCTCTTCTGTGGGTCCCTGCGGTTCTCCTGTAAGTCTGTTTAAATCGGCCCCACATTTATAATTAACAGCAGTTTTGTTGTTGCTGCAGGTTTAGGTTGCTGCAGACACAGTTGCTGCTGCTGCTGCTGCATTGCCTCCTGCTGCTGCTGGCGCCGCCTGTTGCACTTGCCGCTTCGAGGGCCTCAGCAGTAGCAGCTGCAGCAGCAGCAGCAGCAGCAGCAGCAGCAGCAATCTCGTGTTTTTTGTGTGTTAGAGACAGGCAGTGCACTCTCTGCCATTGTAGCTTTCCAAACTTCTTTGGCTCAACTTGTCAATGAAGGGGCCCCCCTTTAGGGGCCCCCTTGGGGGCCCCCCTTGAGGGGCCCCCTTGGGGGCCCCCCTCAAATGGCCCTATTCAGGTGCCCCTATTGAGGGCCCCCCAATCAGGAGCTCCCATTGAAGGGCCCCCTTTGGGGGGGGCCCCTTTGGGGGGGCCCCTATTGGGGCCCCCCATGAAGGGGCCCCCTTTAGGGAAGTCCCTGCTGTGATTTTTTTGGAGGCTTTTCAGGTGGGGCCCCCAAGGGGGGCCCTACTTGGGGGCCCCCCTTGGGGGCCCCCGCTAGGGGCCCCCGCGAGGGGCCATTTTTAAAGGTCTATGTGCTGCCGGAGGCCCCATTTGGGACTCCTTGCGAGGGTTTAAGGTTCGTTTTAGGGTTTAGGGTTTAGGGTTTAAGGCTCAGGATTGCTCATTCGCTCCATGCGGGAGCTCGTGCTAGGGTTTAGGGTTTAGGGTTTAGGGTTTAGAGCTTGTTTCTGGGGTTGAGGGTTTAGTATTTGCGGTTGGGGTTAAGGGGCTAGTACCTAGGGTTTAGGGTTTAGTATCCAGGGTTTAAGGTTTAGTAGCTAGGGTTTAGGGTTTAAAATGGAGGGCTTAGAACTTCGTTTCTAGGGTTTAGGACTTGCCTCAGGGTTTAGGGTTTTTGGCTTTAAATGAAAAAAGAGAAAATAAAATTAGGAGACAAAAAAGAAAAGACAAATTCTGAAATGCTTTATAGTGCTACAGAAGTGCTGCTGCTCGAGCGTCAGCTAGCCACAGCTAGCCACAGCTTGCTGCAGCTAGCCACAGCTACCTGCAGCTAGCTACAGCTAGCCACAGCTAGCTGCAGCTGGGAGGGGACTAGAGCTCTGCTAGCTGCAGCTAGCCGCTAGGTTCAGCTAGCTGCACCTATGTGCAGCTGACTGCAAGTGCAGCTAGCTGCAGCTAGCCACAGGTAGCTAGCCGCCACAAGCTGCAGCTAGCTGCAGCTAGCCATAGCTAGCTAGCCGTCACTAACTGCAGCTAGCTAGCCGCCAGAAGCTGGCGCGGCTTTGGGAGGCCGCCGACACCCTTTGTGGCTGACCACTTTGACTGGCTACGGTCGACTGCAATTAACTGTAGCTAGCTGCCGTAGCTAGCTGTAGCTTGCTGCAGCTAGCTGTAGGTTGCTGCAGCTAGCTGTAGCTTGCTGCAGCTAGCTGTAGGTTGCTGCAGCTAGCTGTAGGTTGCTGCAGCTAGCTGTAGCTTGCTGCAGCTAGCTGTAGCTTGCTGCAGCTAGCTGTAGGTTGCTGCAGCTAGCTGTAGCTTGCTGCAGCTAGCTGTAGCTTGCTGCAGCTAGCCGTAGCTATCCGGAGCTCGCTGGAGCTCGCTGCAGCTATTTGTAGCTAGCTGTAGCTGTCCGTAGCTAGCCGTAGCTAGCCGTAGCTAGCTGGAGCTAGCCGTAGCTAGCTGGAGCTGACTACAGCTAGCTCCAACTAGCTGCTACCTGGAGGTACCTGCTGGTGCTGCGGCAGTTTCTTTTGCTGCTTTAATCTTCTGTGTGAGAGCGCTTTTATTCTGCTGCTGTGTGGGGTGGCTCTACACCCGAACTCCGCAGTGGTCCATTGGTCCACTGGGCGGTCACTTCCCCAGTGGCGGCGTTTGCCGTGCAAATCGGAAGAATGGGGGCTTCTAATGCATAAATGCATATTCAAATGCATTTAAATACAGTTCAAATTAAAATTTAAATAAAGTTTTTAATTAAAAAAGGCTTTTTGAACTTCTGGAGGCTGAGAACAACGCAGGCATCTGGCGTGGCAGTGGGATACCGGGTGTACAGACACCGGAACAGGCTGCGGCGCGTCTTCGTCTGTTCTCCGAAGAAATCAAATTAAATAAAAATTAATTAAATTATTTAAATTAATTTCAATTTCAAATCAAAATTTAAACAAAGAGGAGCTGCCGCTGGCTGCGGCGCTGCCAGTGCCGGCTGGAGGCGGCAGCGGGCGGTTTTCTTTTGCTGCTGCGTCTGTTATCAAAGAAGTGATTCCGGATTGCGAAAATGAGTTGAATTAAATTGAATTAAATTGAATTAAATTGAATTATTATAATTATTTGTTCTTTGTCAATTTTGATTTTGTCGTTTTCCCGCTTTCGCGGGGTTTTTCCAAGTGTCTGTTGAGGTGTCTGTACACCTCCGGCGCGGCGGCGTCGGTTGCCCGTCTCCATCTGGGCTCATTTTTCTGCATTTTTCTCCATTTAAAAGTTTTCTGGCCAAATAAAACCTCCAGAACATTTCAATTCCACCCAAAGAGCCCCGAAAGTGCCCAATGTCGTGCACATACCTGTCCGCGGGGTCCCGGGGGCTGCGCTCTCCGGGGGCCCCCGGGCCGTTCCCGTGCGGGTCTCTCTCGCTGCCGCCGCTGGGGCCCCCTGGGGCCCCCGGGGGCCCCTGCGGGCCCCACGGGGGCCCCCCGGGGGCCCCGCAGGAGGACGTGAGGGCCCCCGGAGACGAAGCCAGGTCCAGCAGCACGCTGAGGCCCCGGGAAAAGAGAACCCTGTGGGTGGGGGACCTGGACCGGGCGGGGGCCCCCGTGGACGAGGCCTATGTGCGGCAGCAAATGTTTTGGGAGTTCGGGGGGGCCCTTTTGGGGGTTAGGGTTTGCAGAGACCGCAGCAGCAGACAGCCAAGTTTTGCTTTTGTGGAGTTCAAGTCCCAAACCCTCGCGCAGTACATTCTCGAGCACATGAACGGCAAGTACGTCCCCGGCAAGCAGCACAAGTACCGCCTCAACTGGGCCTCCTTCAACCTCTCCGACAACCCGCAGCAGCAGCAGCAGCAGCAGCAGCAGCAGCAGCAGCAGCTGCAGGCCATGCAGCAGCGGGGCGTCTACGCGAGGCCCCCGCAGCTTCACAGGCCACCAACGGCACTGCAGCTGGACGCAGAAGCAGGTACACTCTTCGCAGGGTTGGCGGTCTTGGGAAAAGGGTTTAGGGTTTAGGGTTTGGGGTTTAGGGTTTAGGGTTTAGGGTTTGCTGCAGCGCGTCGCGGGGAAACAGCTTCGGTGTGGGTGGGGAGTTTAGACCCTGGGACTTGTCGCGAAGCCGGTAGAGCCTAGGGTCTGGCCTGGGGCCTAGAGCCTAGGGTTTAGGGTTTAGGGTTTAGGGTTTAGGGTTTAGGGTTTGCTGCAGCGCGTCGCGGGGAAACAGCTTCGGTGTGGGTGGGGAGTTTAGACCCTGGGACTTGTCGCGAAGAAATCGAAGAACTTTTCCAAAACCACTACAGCAGCGTCGCCCTCGTCAAACTCATCACCGACCCCAACACCGGTGCTGCTGCTGCTGCTGCTGCTGCTGCTGCTGCTGCTGCTGCTGCTGCTGCTGTTGCTGGTGTGATGATGGTGCTGGTGCTGCTGCGGCTGGGACCATGCTGCTGCTGCTGTGGTGCTGCTGCTGCGCCTGCTGCGCCTGCTGCTGCTGCTGGTGCGGCTGCGGCTGCGTCGCTTTTTCTGCTGCTGCTGCAGCTGTGATGCTGCTGCTGCTGCTGCTGCTGCAGTGGTCATGGGGCTGCAGCTGTTGCTGCAACTGTGATTATGACGGTTATGATGATAATGCTGCTGCTCTGTCTGCTGCTGCTGCTGCTGTTGGTGATGATGATCATGCTGCTGCTGCTGGTAATGGCCATACTGCTGCTGTTAATGGCGATCATGCTGCCGCTGCTGCTGCTGCTGCTGCTGCTGTGTCCGTATTGTCTTAATTTGGGCCTAACTTTTTGCTGCGGCTGTCTCCTTTTGTCTGCTGCTGCTGCTGCTGCTGTCTCCTTTTCTTTGTCTCTTTTCCCACGGCCTTATCGCAGCAATTTCTTTATTCCCTAATTAACCTATAGACAAGTCCCTCAGTCTCCTCCAATCTCTTCACATCTGCTGCTACTGCTGCTGCTGCTGCTGCTTCTGCTGCTGCTCCTGCTGCTGCTGCTGCTGCTGCTGCTGCTGCAGGCAGCTGCAAGGGCTTTGGCTTTGTGCATTTCCTAGACCCTGAAGAAGCAGAAAGAAGTATAGAAGAAATGACAGGAGCCATTTGCCACGGGAGAAGAATTCGAGTTAATAGATCCCACAGCAGCAAAGCTGTGGGGGGCCCCCCAATGGGGGCCCCCCTGGGGGCCCCCATTGGCCCCCGGGGGCCCCCGGGGGTCCCCCCCGGGGGCCCCCCGGGGGGTCCCCCGGGGGCCCCCGGAAACCCCGCGCTGCAGGGAGACAGTCTCTTTAGAGCAGCAATGCACAAGATATATAGTGCAACAGCAAAAGAGGCGGAGAGAAAAGCTGCTGCTTGCTGCAGCTTGTCTGCTGCAGCAAAGCGGAAGCGGGGCGTGTGGGGAGCAGCAGGAGCAGCAGGAGCAGCAGCAGAGCCCCCGAAGCTGGTGGTGCGGGGCCTGGACTGCAGCAGCTGCAGCACGGAAGAGCTGGAGAGACACTTTAGTCCTTTTGGAGAAGTTTTGCAGATTAGATTGTCTCCAAATGGAAAAGCAACTTTGATTTTTGCTGATGCTGCTGCTGCAGTGCATGCGCTGCAGTGTATGGACGGCGCAGCAGTGGGGACTGCTCGGGTGTCTCTCGAGCTCCAGGGCGAGCTGCCTCCCGACTGCGCTGCTGCTGCTGCTGCTGCTGCTGCTGCTGCAGGGGGCGACGCGGCTGGCTGGTGCGCCGGCGTCGAGCAGCAGCAGCTCGCCCTCGAGCAGCAGCAGATCCAGCAGCAGCAGCTGCTGCGCCAGCAGCAGCAGCAGCAGCAGCAGCAAGCCGCCCAGTTCACGCAGTACTACCAGCTCCAGCTGCAGCAGCAGCAGCAGCTCATGCTGCAGCAGCACCAAGCCGCCCTCGCCGCTGCAGGCGGGCCCCAAGGGGGGCCCCCAGGGGGGCCCCCCGGGGGGCCCCCAGGGGGG